TGTAAAATTTCTCCCCTGGGGTAATAGCTCAGTAGTCCCATCTGCCTTCTGCTGTTTCTTTATAAATAACCCCCCTGGCTGTGGACATGTGTGTCCTCAGTTCACATATCCTGGAGCTGCATTATAAAATATTAGAAATCAAAGAAGCCATTAGAATTTGATCTGTAAATTTGGATATTGATGGGGTTTCAGAGTGGAGTTTGCCAAATGTAACATACCTGTTTATCTGATTCCAGAGAAGTTGAGAAGGCAGCTGCAGTGTAATGCAACTCAAAATGCCAGCCTTGGAAGTTTTGTTGAATGCTGTCAAGAATGGAACGAGTTCAGCTAGGAATCAAATGTCTTCCTTGTTCATACATAATCCATCAAATGTCTTCCTTGTTCTTACATGTATCTATTTTTAGTTGACATAAAATGCTCCACAAATGAATAACAACTAGAATTAATAAGGGAAATTACCCAGAGTTGTACATGTTGTCAGATGTGTGATGACTTCTGTATATCAACGTGATTTCCTGAGGCATATAGAAGTGACTGGCCACGTATGAAGGGGGCACCCGAAGCACACACAATTGCAGTGAAGACTGATCAAATTACACCTTAGAACACCCTCTCTTCTCCAACATGCGAGAGGAGACAGTCAGAAACCATCCAGCTACCAGACAGGAATGGTGGCAGAAGTAGTGAATAACCACTCCCTGGGTTCATGGGTCCTCCCACAATTCTCAGTCCCCTTGTAGCACACAGGAGCACAGAATTCTGGATCTGGCCAAAGGGTTGTAGGAAGGAGAAACATGTTACCTCTGGTTTGAAATATTTCATTTCCGGTTCCCTCCCTCTCTCCTTTCCTGCTACAGCAACCAAAGAGATCAGAAATCGCATATGGTACAGCTACAAGAGTTGACCCTCCATCCATAGCTGTGTCCCAGAGTAACCAGGTGGAACAGATCCTCCCACTGACCCATATTGGACATACAGCACCAGTGAGAAAGAATTGGTTTTGTTCGTGGGAAGCCACTGAGATTGGGTGCTGTTTGCATTGCAGCCTAAGCCTGTGCTAAGTTGACCGATACAGCGAGCACGGCTGACTCTGCCTTATTAATAATAGCTAACACTCTTGAGTGATACTCTCTGCCAGATACAGAGCTATAAATCCTTTTTTTATTTCAAGAGCACATTTATTTATCCATTTGTTTTTAATCCTGACCACAAAGCAGCAAAATCTGTAGGTTCATACTTTCAGTTGTAGATGTGATTCATTCAAGCAGTATCAATGAGATCAGCCTCAGTGCAGCTTTGTTACACGTGTTCATTTCGAGCTGTAAGTTCTCTGTGCATTACCTAGTATCTCACAATTTCTGAGAAAGACAATAGTTTTTCCGTAGATTATAGATCACGTGTGATATATATCCTATAAGCCAATAGTGCTTAGATAATATATGTGGCTCTAGATATGTACATCAAAGGTGTATTGTGAAGAAAGAGGCTTTCTTCCTTTCTTTCTGTTAGGCTAGAAATTGTCTCACCTAAGGCCAGTCTGTCCAAACGAGGTCTGAATGCCATCACTTCCTTCCTAACATTACTGAGTATTCCTTGACTCTACTGAATCTGTGCTTTCTCCCCTTCTATTCACGTTGCCCCTCAGCATTCTCAAGTCTCTCCAAGCTTAAGAAAAAAACCCTCCATTTGATTTCTTTCCTCTTCCAACCACTGTTTCCCCACCACTACCCTCCCAGCTCTAGCTCTTGTCTCTCATGCTTGCTTCTTTGTCTCGGTCTCTGTTGGTTCTTCCTCCTTCATGCTACCAAACAGCTCTTTCTGTCACTAATCATGCCTAGACTGCTGGATTCAGTAGACAGTTTTCACCTTATCACATTTCCCAGCATCACCCATCACAATGGACCACACCCTGCTGCTGAAACCCTATCCTACCATGGGTGCTTGGTGGTGGGTGTAGGGGGATAAAGTACACCTGAAGAGGTGGGAACCTGTACCCCCGATCATATACAGTGTTGTAAACCAAGCTCACCTCAATAAAAAGAATATATTTTTATTTTTATTATTTTTTTTAAGATTTATTTATTTATTTATACAAGCACTGGGTACAGTCTGAAGCGCGGGAGGGTGAGAGAATTCACCAGAGCCAGAGCGGGGAGCAGAGCAGGCAGAAGGACCGAAGTACACTGCTGAGGGGAGCAGCGGGCGGCAGGAGAGGTCTGCGCGCCATGTGGGACCCTCCTCCCATGGCCGGGGAGCAGCCGGGGATCGAACGGGCGCCGCAGAGGCCGCGGCCAGCTTCGCAACCCAGCGCTCAACCGCTGCGCCACCAGGAAGGCCCCAATAAAAAGAATATATTTTTAAATGAAAATTTATTTTTTTAATAATGCCTGTCGATGGTTCCTTATTACCTAATAATATCAAGGTCCATTTTAATTTTAACTCTCCTCTCCTCCTCAGGGCTCACATATTATGTATTTGACTAGAATTTTAAAGAATTCCAAAAAATGCTAGTGCTAGTGCATCTACATGATTTATTATCTCTATAACTTCATATGCAGTTTGTTCTCTCAAAATATTCATTCAGCTGACTTATTTATGTTTGTTCCATAGGAAAATACTGAAATTGCTCCTCTCATGCTCTCTTGTCCAGGCTGGAATGTTCTCTACTCTTTCTCATCCTTCAATTATCAGTTCAAATGTTACTTCTTTTAGAAAGCCTTCCCAAATCTGGGCAGAGTGTTCATCCCGTATATTCCAACAGCTCCTTCTACTGCCACATTATGATATCTATATTGCAATAGCATAGTTGCTAATGTCAAGTAAATTCAAACTCGCGGAAGACAAGGTTTATAGGTTTATGTTAATATTGTTTGTGGTTATATCGCTAGAGACTGCTAAAATTCCTGATATCTGATAGGCTCACAAAGACTGTGCCTTGAATCAATGAAGAGGTAGAACATTAGGGGGAAGTTTAGTTTGCCAGTTACTATGGGTAATAAAATTTAATGTAATAGTGGTGTCTCTGAAAAAACAAACAAACAAACAAAAAAAAAATAAGAAATCCTGTCCTGTGGGCTCTCCCTCTCTGGTCACTCTCCTTTTCAAATTCATCTGTGCTTCTGGGAGCACTCAACACCAAAATGTGCCTGTAAAAATATTTTTCAATAAAACACAAACTAAAGCATATCAAAAACAAAGTAAGTCTTTTAAAACAATGGCTTTCCTGGGCCTCACTGGTGGCGCAAGGGGTTAAGCACCACACTGTGAAGGAATCCACAGCCTCTGCAGCACGAGTTCCATCCCCAGCCGGCCAGGGAGCAACCCACATGGCGCAGCAGACCTCTCCTGACTTGCCCGCTGCTCCCCTCATCAGTGTGTTTCAGCCAGTCTGCCTGTTCTGTTCCCCACTCTGTCTCTGGTGAATCCTCTCACCCCCTGCATCTCTGGTCTGTACCCCAGCTCTTGGATGCATAAATAAATAAATCTTAAAAAAAATAAAATTCTGACTTTCCTATAGTAACTATTATGATGCTTGTAAAAAGAATATGAACTCCTTTCCAAAACACTTTAGGGTCCCTTCTTTACTGTTGCTTTAAGAGCTACCTAATAGACCTGCACTGCCTAGAAGTCAATAGACACAATTTCTTGTTCATTCTACCTCCTAAAGTATTTCCCAATCAGCCTGCTCTGCTCCAGTGTGACTGCTTGTTTGCATTTCTGCAAGAACCTCTGAACCTTCCTCCCTGCTTCAATGAATTCTCCACAAAGCAGTCAGGCAGGATGATTTCAGCAACACACATAACTCACCTTGTCACGCCATTGCTTAAAACCCCTCAGTGGCTTCTCATTGTTTTAGGATAAAGTCTCAGTTCCTTAATATGCTCAAGATGCTCACACTTTGTCATGAGCCCAGCCCATTGTCCTGGAAAGGACAATCTCCTCATGAGCCTTTGTAGGAGATTTACTCAGGGGTCTCTCACCAACCCAACCCCCCCCCTCCAGCATCTCTTTACATTTAATGCCCTTTCTTCAGATAAGTATTTTTTAGCCTCTCACATAAGGTCAGTGCTCCTTGTAAAAAAATTAATAATCCCCCAATTTGCTTTGGAAGTAAATGGTTATTTGTATATTGGGTAGTTTAATCTCCCTTCCCTAAGAAAGTAGTTACATGCTCTAGTACACAGAGGAATTCAGGGATCCTTGAATCCACTTTTGTCGGACTTTAGATTTTATGGCCACGACTACCACGTGTTCATAAACCTACTCATCCTGAAAGAAGGTGACTTTTTGCCTCTTGGGTTTACGATGGTGAAATGTTGGTACATGGGAAACTAAGGCTTAACACTAGAAAAACGACATCTGTGAGTTATGTTGTCCTGCTGCTGGTGAATCTCTTTGATCATATTTCCCTCAGCTTTCCTCTGTGGGAGGATATAAGGGGAGCATTCAGAGTAGAGATTGGACAGTCTAAACTGGACCCAGCTCTCCCATTGTATAATTCCCATATCCGTACATGGGGGTAACATTAACCACCTTACATGTTGGTACAGTGGGGCTCATTCATGCAATAAATATTTAATGAGCATCTAGTATGTAAACCAGGTCTTAGTGTGGATGCTGGAGACATCATTTAACGTGATTTAGGATGTTTAGCAGAGTGCCTATCTTATTGAGACTTATATTGATGGTTACTGTTACTGGGGTTACAGTTGCCTGATGACGTTTGCCTATGTTACATCAGCTTGGGGTATTTATGACGTCTCTCAAAATCGGAAGGTCAGCCAGACTTTGCCTTTCCACCAGGGTAAGCGGAGGCGTCGCCGCCTCTCCCCTCCGGGCCGCCAGAGGGCGCGCGGCTTCTACCTCCCCGCGTGCCCTCTGGGTGTGCGCCTGCGCCAAGCCTGCCCCGCTCCTCCGCTCCCCTCCTTCTCCCTCTTCCCAGTTCCCGGTGCCCGCCTTCCCCTCGCTCACTGCCCCGCCTCCAGCTCCTAACGCTCCGCCTCCGTTGCCCCTAGCGGCTGTTTGTTGACTTCCGGGAGCGCGCCGCTGCCTATGCCCGGAGTGCCGCTATGGGGGCCCCAGGGGCTTCTGTGGCCCGCGTCTGGGCTGAGGGGCAGCTTTAGGCTCCACCAGGTCGCGCCCGCCGCCTTCCCAATCCAGTCAGAGGCTCCCCGTCGCGCCCTCGTCATGGGGGAATCCACCGAAGTAGTGCCCGGTGAGTCGCGCCCGCTGTGGTGGCGGCGGGCCGGGGGGAGGGTCCGCGGGCGGGCGGGCGGCCAGGCCCCGCCTCCGGGCCGGCCCCGTCGGGGAACAAGCCCGGGCAGCCGCCGCCGGGCTGGGGCCGGAGCTCGGGCCGCGCCGCGACGGAGGGGAAAGAAAGGGGCGGATGGAATGGCGGGGGGACCGCGGGCAGGGCGGGGGTGCCTGGGTTCCTTTTAAATAAGATTTCGATAAGTTTGTCGAAGGCAGGGACAGTTTCCACCGCCCCGTAAACTTTCTGGAGCACCTCTTCCACGTCCCCAGGGGCCAGTTTTGTATGGCGCGGAGGGTTGGGGGGTATGGAGAGAGTCGGGGGCGAAAAACGAAGGGAGAAAACGACGACTTGGGGAAAGGGGGTGAGAGGGGAACCTTTAGCGAGTTGGGTTTTTTTTTAAGATTTTCCCCATTGGCTCCAGAAAGGTATTTGAGGTTGTGACCCGATGTGCGTGTTGTGACCTCATAGGTGCTGTATAACAGAAACACATTTCAAACCAGTGCTTATTCTAACCACTTGACATACGCTCAGATCTTTTCTATAATGCCAGTATTTTATTTTTTAAGATTTATTTATGTATACAAGAACTGGGGTACAGACCACAGGTGGTGGGGGGGTGGTTTGAGAGGATTCACCAGAGACAGAGTGGGGGAGCAGAACAGGTGGATCTACTGAAACACACTGCTGAGGGGAGCAGCAGGGAGACAGGAGAGGGCTGCTGCGCCATATTGTGGGTAGCTCCCTGGCTGGCCAGGCCCGAACCCACGCTGCGGAGGCTCGGACAGCGTCACAGTAGGGCGCTCAACCGCCTGCGCCACCAGGGAGGCCCAATGCAAGGCTTTTAAAATGGTGATCGTGACCCAATGAAACTGATTTTCTGACCCACGAATGGGTCACAGCCAACAGGTTGAAAAACACTGGAATTAAACAGAATCGTACATTCACTGAAATATGTATTACCTTTTCTACTGTATTCTTGGCTCTAACATGATTAGATCCCTACCCTCCTGGAGCTCAGAGCATAGAAAGAGATAAAAGAAAGCAAAAGGGCAGTACCATTTGAGGGTAAGTGCCAGGGGGTCAGAGCAGAGCCTCCAAACCCTGGCTTGGGTGAGGATATCAAGGAAGGCTTCCTGGGACACTGAAACGGGACAAAATTGTTGAAATTATTCGTCCTAGAAGAACCCAGAGCCTATTCTAAAACCTGGCCTCCCAAGACTCAATCACCAGTTTGAACTGATACCTCACAATTGTTCTCAAAGATTTTCTATAGTGACTAGTATTTCGTGCACTGATATTTATTAATAGTTAATTTCACTGTGCTTTTCTTCCTGGTACCTATTAATAGTTTCTTTATGTCTGATAATCCTTGAGATTTCAAATGCTGGATTTGGCCTGTTGGGAGCACCGCTTGGTAACAACAGGACTGTTAATAATTGAGGAATGCCTTCCTTGTGATAGCTCTTATAACAGTAAATGAATAATACATATTTCACTTAGTAGATTTCAGAAATAAAACTCCAATGAAGTCTGAGCAGTGAGACTGAATTCAGGTGGGAGGACAAACACAAACAAGGTCAGAGCAGAGGCAAAGATGCCACAAAACATGGAATTTAGAGAGATAAGTTACTAATAAAATATTTTAGTAACAGGCTACATAGCAGGGGTTGTAAAATAGAAACTATCATTTATTTGCAGATTCTGGTGCTGTGTTTACATTCGGAAAAACTAAATTTGCTGAAAATATTCCTAGCAAGTTCTGGTTTAAAAATGACATTCCTGTTCATCTGTCATGTGGAGATGAACATACTGCCATTGTTACAGGTTAGTATTAAAATCCTAAATGAAGATAGTAATACTTCGAGAGTCCTATATTACAGATGTGCTGTGTTTTAACGTATTGGAAATATATAGAAAGTTTTGTTTGTTTTTTGCTGTGCCTGAGAATTATTGACAAGTTGATTGATCAAGGGAGGAAACTTAAAGTCCCTTTAGTATATTTAAGTATGCTTTTCTTTGCACACAACTTTATTGGAGTTAATGTATTTTAATATAGCTATATAATAAACAATCATTTAATCTTAGGAACTCCTTTACACCTAACAGAATCTGGCTCCTTAGATAGACAAGGTAACCTGTTTCAAGTGGAAAAGCCATGACTTTTAAGTGTAGCTTTTTCTCTTGCTTTGTGATGACTTCACCTGGGGTTACTTTATGTTGTAAATGTTTCAATTTATTGTTTCTTTTTCCTTCCCACCAGGAAATCATAAGCTTTACATGTTTGGCAGTAACAATTGGGGCCAGTTAGGATTAGGATCAAAAGCAACTGTTAGCAAGCCAACGTGTGTCAAAGGTTTGGGGTCTTTTCTTCTTTATCACTTCAAATGCTTAACAAACTATAAAGTACTTTATATTGATTATGTGGTTCATATTTTAAGTATAATGCCCTTAGTTCTTCATTTTAAATATTTGCTTGAATGTTATTGGCATTGAACTTTATTTTGTATATGTATTCAGGTCTACTTTTGTATGTTAGGGTCTAAACATCACGTTGATGTTACACCCAGATTCTCCCACTGCAGTTCAGCATCCTTTTCCTTCTCCCTGTTTGTAAAGCTCCTTAGCATCTCCATGCTACTTACAGGCTGTGGCCTGGAGCTCCTGAAGTATTTCACATAGCCAAAAAGTATTTATTGAACACAGTCTGCTGAACACTGGGCATATTCATGGTGACTGTGAGCCTTACTCTCAAATACCTGGTAGATGAGCTAACGGGAGTGTCTAGACTTGGTTTCCTTGAGACTAAGGACTTTGTTTCAGTGATCTTTACACCCCCTATGCTGTGCATTTGGGAGATGTTCTGTAAATGTTTACTGCATATTTAAATGAATGAGGATCTTTAACGCTTCATGCCCATGAATGTAGGATTTACAGTGCCTTGGTGGTGAGCTTGGTGATGATAATGTCAGGTTGATGAAGAGGCAGCACAAGCAAACATAATGGATCTCAGTGCATATTAATCACCTGTGGAGTTTTTTTAAAATATATAGATGTCTGGGCCTTACCCAGAACCACTGACTCACATTCTCAGGGATGGGCTGAGCTATCTTTATTTTTCTCAGAATTCTGCTGGCTATTATGATATGTACCTAGTTCTGGAAACCTTCAGTTTATTAGTTAAAAACATCACTTTGGAGTCACATAGGCCTGGGCTTAAATCTCAGTGCTACCACTTAGTTACCACTAAATCTGGGCTATTTATCATTTTTATAACCATAAAAATTATCGTATTTTTATATTTTAGCTTTAAAGCCTGAAAAAGTGCTGTTTGCTGCCTGTGGAAGGAACCATACCATCATTTCAACAGGTACAGTCTTCAGTCTGTATGACTTCCTGCTGGATTTCAGGACTGAGGTCTCCATTAGAATTTATAGCTTTGTAAAGTGAATAGAAACAGTGTTTGGGCAACAGATTAAGATTTATAAAACTGTACGTAGTTAGTAAGCTTGTTTGCCTTTGAAAATATGCTGATAAATATTAACTGGCTGCAGACAAAGCTGGTTTTCTCAAATCCTATCAAGGGACAACCTCTCCTTATCTGTGTGCACATCTCAGGGACCAGTTCCTTCTGATCTTGGTCTTCCCTCTTCTCTTCTGAGGGTGAGTAGAAGCCATCCCCCAAAAGCTGTTGATTTAAGTGAGCAGAACTCCAGTCAAAATCCAAACACTTTTTGTATATGTGTGTGTGTGTGCGTGTGTGTGTGTAGAAATTGACATGGTGTTTCTAAGTTTATATGTAAAAGCAAAGGACCTAGAATAACCAAATAATTTTGAAAAGAACAAAATTAGAGCACTCACACCACCAGATTTCAAGACCTACTGTAAAGGCACAACAATCAAAACTGTTTGCTGTTAGTGAAAATATAGACAAAGGTGAGTGGAACAGAATAGAGTCTGGAAGTACAGTACACATACACACCCAACTAATGTTTTTTTTAAGATTTATTTTTATTTATTTATGCATACAAGAACCGCGCTGTAGGCCAGAGGTGCAGGGGGTGTTTAACCAAGGTGCCAAAGCAGTTCAATGATGGAACATTAGCCCTCCGGGGCCTGGCCACAGAGCAGTCCTTCCCGCCTCCTATCCTGTGCACACAGCTTTTTCTGTCTTCAGGCTACTCTGACTTGGCTCCTCCTCACCTCTCTACACTCCTTTACACTTTTCCCTTGATGAAATGTCTTTTCTCTTTCTCTTATTTAAATTACTCCTTTGAAAATCCAGTATGTCTTTACCTTCCATGGAGTTTTTTATAACCAACATTTTACTAATGTAGTTCTCTGAATAACTTTAGCATTTCAACAATTCCAGTTTGCTCTGTATGTTTTATTTTATTTTTTTTAAAGATTTATTTATTTATTTATACAAGCACTGGGTGCAGTCAGAAGCACAGGAGGGTGAGAGAATTCCCCAGAGTCAGAGCAGGGAGCAGAACAGGCAGACTGATGAAGCACACTGCTGAGGGGAGCAGCGGGCGAGGCAGGAGAGGTCTGTGCATCATGTGGGGCCCTTGCCGGCGGCCGGGATGGAACCAGCGCTGCAGAGGCTGCAGGCAGTTTCACAGCCCAGCGCTCAACCGCTACGCCACCAGGGGAGGCCCTCTGTATGTTTTAAAATGTGCAGTTCAATTCTTTGTGGCCTTGTAGCACCTTCCATTTGTAAAAGCTAGTCTTGTTTCTCTGATTAGGTTTCATTTTTTTCTAAAATAGTATCTAATTAAAATTTTTTGTTGCTTTTGCCTTCAGTTTTCCCAATAATATAGCAAGGTGTTAACTTCACGGTACATTTTTACTAAATAATGTGTGTGTTTTTAAAAATCTTGATTAATTAAAAACTTACTGGCAATAGTTATTATCTAGGTATGATATACTTCTTATTCAATCAAGAAAGTAATTAAAAGGAACTCTCCTGAATTGCTGGTGGGAGTGCAAACTGGTCCAACCACTATGGAGAGCTGTGTGGATATTTCTTGACCTACTAAAGATAGAGCTTCCATATGATCCAGCAATTCCACTCCTAGGTATTTACCCAAAGGACACAGAAACATCAATTCCAAAGGGCACCTGCATCCCTATGTTTATAGCAGCACTATTTACAATAGCTAAACTATGGAAACAACCCAAATGCCCCAAAATAGATGACTGGATCAAGAAGATGTGGTATGTACCACATACACAATGGAATATTACTCAGCAATCAAAAAAGATAAACACATGCAGTTTGCAGCAACATGGATGGAGCTAGAAGGGATCATGCTCAGTGAAATAAGTCAGAAAGAAAAAGAAAAATACTGGATGGTCTCACTCATAGCAGGACTTTAGAAAACCTAAATAAGGGACCAGGAAAAAGACTAATTAATACAAAGTAAAAATCAAAATAGACAAGCAACTATAAACCAGAGACACACTACGGGGTGAGGGAGGGACGTGGAGAGGGAGGATTAGGGTCAAAATAAGGGGGCGTGCAATTGTATGGGGAATATAACCAAAATGAAAATGCATACATTGTGTAAAAATGAAAAATGATGTAAGAATTATATAAAATATTAAAAAAGAAAGTAATATACAGTTATAAAGTGCTTACAATGAGCCAAATATTGTTCTAAGAATTTTTAAGATGATGACTAATTTAATTTTCATAACAGCTCTAGGAAGTATAGGCAGAAGAGGAAAATGAGACACTGAGATGTGAGCTCTAAGTGCAGCTTACCCACACTCACAACTGTTAAGAGGCAAGCCAGAAAATGCACCCCAAAAGTCTGGCTCTGAGTCCTGTCTCCTAAACAATGCTATACGGCCTTCTTATTTAGCTAGAAAATTAAAATACTTACATGACAATTTTCATGCTTCTCTTTATATTCTTTTTTGATTAGCCTCATTTACTTGTTACTTATTATATCTTAGGTTTAATAGGTATGGAAGTTAAAATTAACGAACCACATCTCTGTTAAAACAGCTTGATTTAGATAATAAACTAATTTGGAGATTACTTTCATCTTTTTTGCTCTGAATTAAGAGTGCTGTATTAACAATACATCTCTCACATTCAATGCATTTCAATTGCTACTTAAATTCTATAATGATATCTAGAATTAAAATTTCACCACAATGTTTAACCTTTCTTGTTTTGCTTTTATTTTTGACAGCATAATGCAGCAATTCAATTTATAGGCTAATGCCAGCTTTCAACTTTCTTCACTATTCAAAGAAGTAGTACCTGGTATACACTGGCCTGTCTCATGAAAATGGTGACTTTAGTATACTGATATTTTCTTTTCCATGTGCAGAAGGAGGCAAAGTATATGCAGCCGGAGGAAACAACGAAGGACAGTTGGGACTTGGTGACACAGAAGAAAGAAACACTTTTCATCAAATCAGCTTTTTTACATCCCAGCATAAGATTAAACAGCTTGCTGCTGGATCCAACACTTCAGCTGCATTAACTGGTGAGACTTTCAAACCGAGACACATCCCTTTACTTTAGACAGCACATACCAGCTCAGTACACTGAGGACAGCATTGCTGTTTAGTTTTCTTTCATTGACCATGTTTTTTCAGAAGACATTTAAAATACAACTTTGAGTCATGACATGTATTGCACTGTTATGCTTATTTCAGATTTAGGTATGGACATGCATTTCAAAGGTAAGTGTTAAAGTACATCCTAAGCTATGCTGTTTTATTGCTCCTTTAGATGTCCTCAAATACTGTCATCATCATAGGTTCTGTAAGTCATGCTTGTAGCTTTTATGAAGTTGCTGTCAAAAACTAGAAATCTAATTGTTCAAATGTGGTGTGTAGTAGTCATTGAATCACTCTGCCCTTCCTATCAAAAGCCCATATGAGAAATGTCTTTAAAATTTGGAGCCAAGATAAACCTGGTGTCACTGAAGAGGCTGTTGGTGTGCTCCCAGGCAAGAGCTGGGTGACGTGATGAGTTGCTAAGACCATCCAAGGGGCCAGAACGGACCCACAGTTCCATCCTTTTAGGCTGTCAGCTGTGCAGTTAGAATATTGACAACCTTCTCTTGGTTCCTATTTTCAATTGTCTTTTTTTTTTTCCTTAAAGCCACTTTCTTTTTTCTTTCTTTCTTTTTTTTTTTAAGATTTATTTATTTATGCAAGCACTGGGTACAGTCAGAAGCGCGGGAGGGTGAGAGAATTCACCAGAGCCAGAGTGGGAAGCAGAGCAGGCAGAAGGACCGAAGTACACTGCTGAGGGGAGCAGCGGGCGGCAGGAGAGGTCTGCACGCCATGTGGGACCCTCCTCCGGTGGCCGGGGAGCAGCTGGGGATCTAACTGGCGCTACAGAGGCTGCGGGCAGCTTCGCAACCCAGCGCTCAACCGCTGCGCCACCGGGGAGGCCCATTTTCAATTGTCTTTTAATTTACCTTTAGTATTATTAAACTACTTCAAAGATCAAATAATTTTTAAATTAAAGACATAAGTAAATAAGTAATTCTTGGTAATTCCTTTCTAGCTTAACTTTTCAAAGAGTTAACCCTATTTTTGAGCTGCTTTATATGCTAATACAATTCCTTATTCTTTGAAGCTAGCTTATGTGTTTTCCAGTGTAAAATGTCAAAGAATGTTTAGTGAAATACATTTATCTTTTTCTTCCTTTAAAACGTCATTTCCACAGTGTTCTCAAGAGCAGGCCCTTTTGACCTGGGACTTGCCCAGGAGATGTCCGGTGTGACTTACACTGTTGTTCAGCTTAGTTGCAGGTAGACTGCTCAAAGGGAAGAAACCATTTTCTGTTAGAGACATTAGAATAAGATAAGGTTATTACAATAGGAAAGGACAGCCTGTTTTTGATATGGAGATAAAAGTATGGGCAAAGTGGACTGTGGTGGAGAACTATGGGTGGTTTGGTGGTGAGTACAGTGTGGTAACAACACCTGAGGGGGGAGACCCTATATCTCTAAAACATAAATAACATTGTAAACCAATGTTACCTCAATAAAAGAAATAAGTACACAACTAAATGATTTATACCAGGCTATTCTCTGTTCCTTATCATTACAGAAATATTGCATAATAGAAATTGAGCTCGTTAAGTAGCCAGCTGGTATAAGTGTCTTAGTATTTTGTTTTTCAAAACACAATTTTTCTAAATTGAAAAATAAATGGTCTGTTGGAAATACGATAAACTTGATATCCCTGCTACCTTTTAAAACCATTTCCCCCCCTTACGTTTTCTCTATAGAGGATGGAGAGCTTTTTATGTGGGGTGACAATTCTGAAGGACAGATAGGCTTAAATAATTTAACAAATGTGTGTGTACCTCATCAAGTGACCGTTGGGAAACCCATCTCTTGGATCGCTTGTGGATATTACCATTCTGCTTTTGTAACAAGTAAGACAACAGTTTGGATTCATAGCTATTACTGAATTAATAACAATATGATTGTTCATATTTATCTTGCATGGATCACTGTTCTTTTCCCTTAATAGTGGAGGGGAAACTGTTCACGTTTGGAGAAACTGATGGTGGGAAGTTAGGTCTTCCCAAAGAGCTGCTCCTCAATCACGGAACACCCCAGGAGGTATCTGCAATTTGTGAGAAGGTGATCCAAGTAGCTTGTGGTGGAGCACACACGGTGGTTCTCTCAGGTATGTGTGGAACCTGCTGCTCTGTGGTGACTAAGGAAAATTTTTCTTACATGTGTTTTTTATTATGATAAGAACACTTAACATTTGATCCACCCTCTTAACAGATTCTGAAGTGTACAATACAGTGTAGTTATGTGTAGGCACAGTGTGTACATCAGAGCTCTAGCACTACCTGGCATAGCTGAAACCAGATCTGATGGTTAGCAGCTCCCTTGCCCCCCACTCCCAGCCCTTGGCTCCCACTAGTGTAGTCTCTGCTTCTGTGAGTTTTCTCTTTTAGATACATCATCTGTGATGATCATGCACTTAGTTCCCTATCTTTTATTCCTATAGTTAATATATATTTTTGGCATGTAGAAGTTTTTAAGTAAAATAAATCATCAGATTGTTTTTGCTGACATAATTAACCTTTTCATGATTTTAACAGCTTTAATGACAGCAGATAACATTGTTTTTAGCTCATTTTCAAAAACAAACTTTTCTTCATGTATGTGTATTCCATATTTATCTAAAATTAACACCTTTTTTTCCTGCAATATCTTCTTTTGGAGGAATTCCCTATTCATGCTATTTTCTACATGCCATTGATAACCCTTTTCTTTGTGTTATTGACAATGTCTTAATTGGTGATTTGTTTGTGATCTTTACGTTCTGCAATAGTAATTCATTAAAAAGTGTTAAGCTTTTAAATTATAGATATTAAAAGAAAGTTAGAACCATAATAGTAATGTCACTTTTGTTTTCTGAATTTTGTATTTGGTATTACATGTCATGTCTCAAGACTAGCCAATATGTTAAAATATACTTATTACTTGATATTGTGCTTACTAAATTGATGCTCCTAAATTTATTAGCTTTAGGATTAGTTTTAGATGAGTAGTATAAAGGTAATATAGTCAGGTAATGAATTATTATGGGTTTTTTGGATCAAAAAGAAATTAGCAGTTTCTGAAGTCACCACTTAAGCTTTAGTAACCCAGGGTTGTACATGATCTAGACAAATTTGGAATAATTAATTCTCAGATGATAAGCTTACTGTTGCAAGGTGATGGAGCAGTATCTTGTCTTTGGGTTTTCTTCTGTTACGTTGATTTTCTTTGTCATCTTGTTCTAGTCCCAGTCATGCTTATTAAGCTATGGTTTCCCAGAATACACTTTCCAGTTGGAATTTTTTCCAAGTTAGAAGTAATTTCTTAAGACCTCTTCTCTAAATTTGGAAAAAATTCTGAGGTTTAAGTTTTTTTTGAGTTTCTGCTCACAAAATAAATTTTCATATATTTTCAAAAAGATTTATTCTAGGAATTAAACTTGGAAAGTAATCTCTGTACATTATCAGAAAATTCATTCTGTAGACAGAAATGCAACTTTTTATTTATGTGCTATGTATTTTCTCTAGTTTATACAAAGATTATAGAAATGATTCATTTATTCCATGACTAAAAATTATTCTGAAGGACCATGTTGATTATATAATTCAACCATACCTCATAAAGTAGTATCATTTAAAATGAACCCCAAGATAATCCATGATAATTTTAATTATGCTTAATATTAAGATGCATTTAAGTGTGATTTATTTTCTTTGCAGTATTGCAAGCATTTCACTTTCAGTGGACTTTGTTTTGAGACTAAAAACCATGTTGCCAGAATCTGTTTTCTCCAGATTTTTCTAGACTTTGGAAAATCTCAGACCACTAAAGTAATTGTGGGAATCAACAGATGGTTGCCATCTTCTAATTTGCATTTAGCTAAATTGCCCAAAAAAACCTAAAAAACAAAAAAACCTCTGTTCACCATATCATAAAATACAGGGCATTTTCAAAACAAAAAATGTTAAAGTTCTTTATTTTACAATAAAAGACACCTCATTAAATTATATAAATGCATCTCTATAGAAAATTCATTACTTAACCTATGTTTTACATTTCTCCATGGATCTGTGAGTGCTTTATTATGAGCCAGCCCAGGTGAGAAACCTGTGTTCTGGATCACAGTGGGGACAGAAATACTAATCATCAGTTTGACTAAGTACTAAATTGAATACCTAAAAGAGTATTATAAAGTACTTTGTGAAACTTTAAAGGAAAGAATATCTAACCATCTGTTCTAGGGCTTTCCCTTCACTAAAAGAAAGGACTTTAGTTAGATGAGACCGTGGAGCTCCTCCCCAGCTTTGTTTTTCCTTGCCTATAACTCTTTTAAAATGTGCTGGCCTATCATTCATGAAAACACTTTAAAGATCATTTAAATTAGTATGCTGCTGCTGAATTCATTAAACATAATATTTATACGCAACCATGATAGATTAGTGTAAGGACAGGAAGACCACAGTGCAGGTTTTCTGATTCAGCAGACCGGGTAAAGGAGGAGTTCTGGAGCCCTCAGGGGTTTTGCAGGTCTTTTATTTAGATTTACCAGGCATATGGCAGGCAGGGGTACTGGGGGGCCGGGAGGCTGGCAGTCCTCCCAGCCCTCAGCAAATCCTCACTCTATCTGGGCTCTCTGGCGTGCTCTCTGCTTCTCTTCTCTCGGCTTCCATTCGTTCTTGGCTTCTGCTGGCGTCCCTGTGATGCCACCCTTATAAACTCAGTCTCTCAGCCAGGTGTACCCACTTCAGGTGCCCGCCATCAGGCATGCATTCAGGAAACCACAGGATTCCCTCATGTATCCTAATGGTGGGAGGGCAGAAAAGCCTGATACTTTTTTTTTTTAGTATTTATTTATTTATACAAGCACTGGGTACAGTCAGAAGCGCGGGAGGGTGAGAGAATTCACCAGAGCCAGAGCAGGGAGCAGAACAGGCAGAAGGACCGAAGTACACTGTTGAGGGGAGCAGCGGGCAGCAGGAGAAGTCTGCGCGCCATGTGGGACCCCCCTCTGGTGGCCGGGGATCAAACCGGCGCTGCAGAGGCTGCTGGCAGCTTCGCAACCCAGCGCTCAACTGCTGCACCACCGGGGAGGCCCAAGCCAGATACTTTTTACCTTACCCTACAATTAGAAAATACAACTAATGGTTGTAGTTGATGGTTTCATTAGTTTCTCCTTGGAACCAAGGGCTGCTATTGTGGACGTTTCAGGCAGGAACTTGAAATACTGTAAGTAAGCCTGAAGGCTGTATCTTGTGTGTTTCCACATCAGATACCAAAAGACAAGAAAGGCCCAATTTTAAGATGGAGTCCACAATGAAGCCTGAATCCCAAGGAAAATGAGGACTTCCCCTAATTTCTCCAGTTTATATTTGGACAAACTTAAAATTTCTATAGGGAAAGAGTCACTAGTCATGAAATCAAATGTAGTCTGTGAAATTAGAGTAATGTGCATCTGCAGCTAACTAATAAAATCTGTTTTCCTAATACAGTATTGTTTATTAATGATGGATTACATTGTTAAATGTTATGAAGATATTACCCAGAGTTATATTAGTTGTTATATGTAATTCCTAGATAGAAGGCTCTTAAGTTATTTTAAAAAATAGTGACTGCTGTCATCACTGATCATTCTAGCACCTGAAAGTGACCCTAACAGGGTAAGGAACAAAACCTGGTGACGGGATTCAGATGCTTAAATGGTCTAACTTCACAGACTAATATCAGACAGTCCAAGAAACTTAGAGTAGTTGTTGGCTAGCTAGAGGTAGACAATTGTTTTTAATTTGCCCAACATTCTACAATTAAGCTGAATATTCGTAACTGGAGATGTGTGGATTAATTAAACTTAGAGGTGGCATTTTTTTTTACACTAAAAGATCTTTTGGCTCAATATAACTTCATATCCTTAACACAGAATATTTTCGTTAAGAAGTAATCTGTTTTATTTATAAAGTAAAAATTCTTATCAGATAGGAAATAAATTGTAAAACAGTTGGAAAGATGTTCTTGACCACTGAATGTCCTATTATATTTGAAAATCTGCCTATTTTCTCATTTAATCGTCACGGCAACTCTATTAGATAGGAGTTATAACATCAGAGACTTATACTTTCCTAGCTAATATTAATGGACATTTGGGTTTCTACCTGAATCCAAAGCTCTTGCTCTTCTTCCTCCAGCAGGACAATTAATGTATTGGACTAAGGAGAGGTAGACTTAATAGAACAAACCCCTTGCTTCCTAATAGCCAGAGTTGTAGGTCAAAAGGACTCTTTCATCACCACTCATTTATCCCGCTGTTGTATTGCTCCTTATTTATCCTGAATTTCCATTTCTCAAAAAAATATATGAGCTAACATTTACTAAGTTACTGAAGATCCTTTGAAATCACTGGAATCACTTAAAAATGCTAGTAATAGAGGAAAGCTTTTTTCCTTCCTTTTATTATTGCATTTACTTGTAAAGGAGCTTTACCTAGGAATAAATGTAGCATATTTTTTTTTGTAAGTTTTGATTCCCATGGAAATTTTCCTCTGAAGCTCTTTTATACAGTAGATTATTCTATCAATCTACTTTTGAAAGTCAGGAGATTTTCCATAGGAAACATTTTTCATTTAAGACAGTGAAAGGAATTAACTTGCTGACAATGATGCTTTTTAAAGATCTGAGTGGTAGTTAAAGGAATATTTTAGGTAGTTCGCTGACTTAAATGTCTATAGCAATTCCTTTTATGGTTATATATAAAAGATATAATCAGGCCTGTGACATAACTTTTACAATTGTGTGCCTTGTCATTTTTCTCTTCTTTTATCATTGAGAAATGTGTACTTAAGTAGTAGATATTCTTATATGGGTGTTTCCCTCAGAGGCATGTAGCCTTCAATATAACAGGTTGAATATCACAGCTTTTCTGGATAGAACCATAGCAGTGTCTTCTTTCCTGCAACCCTTTTCTTATATTCGCCCCTTCCCTTTCAGAGAAAGCTGTATACTCCTTTGGACTGGGACAGTTTGGTCAGTTGGGTCTGGGCACTTTTATTTTTGAAACCTCGGAACCCAGAGTCATTGATCGTGTTAAGGATCAGAAAATAAGTTCTATTTCCTGTGGAGAAAATCACACGGCTTTGATAACAGGTACAGATCAGAATTTCTGTTATATAATTACAGAATTGGGTCTATTTTATATTACAAAATAAACATATCAAATGAATGTATCTAGAATAAGCAAAGGAATTAATAACTGAGAAAATATGCCAAAATATGAAGCTGTAAACTCCTTTTTAATATTTTCCATTTAAATCAGTGTAAATGAGCAGAAGATTTAGAACCTCCAAATATTTAAGTGCTATCAGAGGTAAGACCACAATATTCTACTTTGGCAGGAAGCTGGAATATTTTTGAAGTTGTATCACTTTGAATGCTCTTAACTCTATGTAGGCCAGAGGGAAAAATCTTACAAGGAAGAACTTAAAACATTCTCCCTGTTCCATCTGACAGAACTGCTTGCAGGCTGAATACATTCTTAAGATGTGTTTGACACCAGGAGAGCCACTGCCTGCCTCTCTCCACAGAGATAGAGACAAGGCGCCTCAAAGATCATGAGTAAATATCTAATCCCTCCATATTTTCCACTCTATAGTTTCTCCTCCATCCAAGGAGATGCTGCTTTGGCCTATTTCTCAACCTCAGAAATTAGGTGCTGCTAATGTATGACTCTGTACAGAGTCTCCCCTAAAAAGACGCACTCACTCACTGTAGGTGATTGAGACACTCCACTAATTTAATTGGTTTGGAACAAAAAACTAATTTTACTACTCTAGCTCACATTTCTATCTAAAAATGAAGTAAAGCATTAAGGAGTCAGAAATCATACAGTATTTTAAAATAATCTAGATACTAGTATGTCTCCATTCTTTTCCTTTTTCCAAAAATGCTTCCGCTGTGATGGAGCTCATCTAATGGTATCTGGTTAGGGGAACTGGGAACCAGCAAATGTAAGGTACTTCCTTCCCCAAAGAACCTTTGGAGAAAAAACACTTGCCCATTTTGAAGTATCAGTACTCTTGTTACTATAGCATAAAATAGAACTATATGGAATGTATTTATCACAGACAGGGTAGAGCTGTTTCTGTGTATCCCTTGCTGCTGCAAGGTTTTCCTCTCAATTCCTCTGTCCTTCCTGCCATTTTTTTCATGAACTCTAAATTGCCATTGATAGAAAATACTTAACTTTTTATGGATCATCTAATGTGTAATTAGATTATTTGGTTGAACTTTCATAATACCTTTCCTCCTGATGTAAAAAGTTATAGCACAAATAATTGAACTTTAATTTTGATTGCCTTTTTGCGCATGAAGCCTCCCAAAGTGATCAGTATTAGGGAATTTTTTTCTCTAGGATTAATGAGAGGTGTGTAATAAGTTATCTAAGTTCTTGTCAGTTCCTCTGCATAGTTAGTGGCTCATATTTGAAAAAAACTCTCTGAGATTGGAAGTACAATTGGGTAGAATCAGTTTATTTTTTCTGGCTAACCCTAGTAAAGTTACAAGGCAAACCTTGAAACCTGGATAGAGAAATCAAAGTAAAAAAGAAGAGGATGCTGAAATAAAGATAATAAGGAAAATATCTTTAAAAAGGAAGTAAGTATTATAAGAGTCCAAATTTAGAATCTGAACACTGTTTATTGCTTATTTATAGGGAATCTATTTTTATATGTTAGCTTTTGAACTTAGCACCTTACTAAATTATGTTTTAAAGAAGGAACTTGAGAAGAGATGTGAAGATTCAGAATAATTGCCATGGTAGTGGACAGAGGGGTAACTAGAGAGTAGTGGTAAGATTACTTATCATTGTGGACCGAGCTATAGAGGGGATCCCAGTATTGGGTCAGCATGGTTGGTTTATATCATTTTCTTCAGGAGCATTCTACAGCCCAGGAACAGAATTGGTAAAAGACACATATGGAGCCAAGCCAGTAGTTCTCCATTAATGGAGATTTCGTCCTCCCAGGGGAGACATGGCAATGGCTAGAGACATTTTTGATTGTCACAGCAGCAGAGGTGGGGTGTTCTATGGCCATAGAGTAGGAAGAGGCAAAGGATCCTGTAAAGCACAGAGCAGACCCACATAACCAAGAATCATCTGACCCCAAATGTTAATAACGTCAAGGTTTAGAAAGCCTGTCCAATCAATGACCTGAGAAAAAAAGAAGATTCTTTTGGGATGTAGGGGGTCAGAATACATAATCTCTTTCCCCTGGAGAAGGTAATGCATAGTAGAAGATGTCATGCTGGATTGCTGCTGCCCCACCCAGTGCCTTGTGCAACTGGGCCTCAACTTCACAAACCACCAAGGGGTGGGTTAGTGTTTAATTCTGAGTATCTGTTACCCAATGCTATGCACAGGATACATGCACAGGATACATTGGATCAGGGCAAATTCATTGCATAATTTGAGGGGAAAATTACCATTGCAATGTTATTTAATATAATTATCTGTTTATAGATTTTGGTCCACACAAGTAACACTTTTGTAATCCTGCCCCCCCATTTTTTTGTATTTTAGACATGGGTCATCTATATACTTTTGGAGATGGTCGACATGGAAAATTAGGGCTTGGACTGGAGAATTTCACCAATCAATTTATTCCTACTTTCTGTTCTAATTTTTTGACATTTATAATTAAGTTGGTAAGGGCATCACGTTTTCCTGTCTACATTTTTATATCTACTTTTAGATTTTCATTGAAAATAAGTACCTTTCTAATTGTATGAAAGAATATCATGGATGTGTCTATTAGACACACTCATTTCCTAAAAGCCAAATGTCAGACATCATGCCACTCCCCATATCTGTCCCTTTCCTGGTTTGCCTCTGTAACATCTTTTTGACCTAACCTTGACTCCTCTGCTTCATTCTCGTGCGTCTCTTTAGAACTAGGACAGTGCCATGCCTGGAAGCTTTGTGTCTCCTGTGGTACCTAGCAGAATGCCTTGTTCATAGTAGCCCTCTCTTAATAGCTGTTAAGTTCGATATTACTAAGACTCACAAATTCTGCATGAGAAAATCTGATAATAAACACAGAGTTTTGCAGATGTTTCATTGGCTAACTTATTTAGACAAGAAGGTATTGTTTCAGAGTCATTCCCATTGGGCATCATATATTTATTGTTTCTAAAACATTTGCACTTAAGAACTGTGGGCTTGAAGATTGTGTTTACTTGATGATGATAATATCACTTGAAATTTGTTCTCCAAAGACTCAATGCCTCATTTGACACCCATTAATGAATGCCTGCTCTGTTCAGGGTGCTGGACTAAGCATCAGGAATACGAAGCATGCAGTGATGAACAACATAACCAAATCCTCATTCAATGAACATTTATATTATGGGGAAGATCATTTTGTAAAATGACACAGACTAAATAAATTTTAACTGAAAATATTGTGAAGGAAAGGTTCAGTGCTTACTATTCCTCTACCACTATGTAGCACATTATAAAGTTGCAAAAAATATATGTGTATTGCCAACACTGTAGGGTTTTTTTAAGCATTTTATTTAAAATGAGTTATTTCTCACAATTCTTTGAATCTTGATTTCATCTTTCATTGTTCTATCACTGTGTGTTTGCATTTTATTCCAAGGATTCTTAAGCATTAAACTTTAAAAGTGTTCAAGTAGAGAAAAGGCTTGGAGACATAATTATTTGAGGAGACTGATTTATTCCCTGGTCATTTTTTTCCAAATAGAACTTCTCTGAGTAATTTTTCAAGTTGCTATTGTTGCCTCCAGATTGAAGTAACATTTTCTAATTTGTAAGAAGAAACGTAATGTGCCAAACAAACAGTTTTTTCTCTATACTCTAGTAAGATGGTGTGTAATTCACGTTTGTATGTATCTATGCATTTGTGTGTGAGTCAGTCCAGGAAGTCTACTAAGTAAGTGAATATTTTGTAGCTGAAAAACTCACTTGTGTTTGAAAGCCTTGTCAATTAATTTATCTGTGGGTTTGTGCCTCAGGTTGCTTGTGGTGGATGTCACATGCTCGTTTTTGCCACTCCGAGAATTGGTGTGGTGGAAGAAGTTGACTTAGATGAAGTAAGCGACTCTGGCTTACATGCAACGCCTTCTCTACCCTTCAACGATCTGACCTCAGGACACGTACTGCACAGAACTTTATCAGCACGTGTGCGGCGACGAGAGAGGGTACAATTGGGGACTGTTCTTTTGTAATAGCCATGTCCGGCACCTCAGAGAAAACCAAAAGAAAAAAGTCCATTTGCTTTTTTTTTTTTTTTTAAAGATTTATTTATTTATTCATACAAGCACTGGGTACAGTCAGAAGCGCGGGAGGGTGAGAGAATTCACCAGAGCCAGAGCGGAGAGCAGAACAGGAAGAGTGACGAAGTACACTGCTGAGGGGAGCAGCGGGCGGCAGGAAAGGTCTACGTGCCATGTGGGACCCTTGCCCGGCGGCTGGGGATCGAACCGGTGCTGCTGAGGCCATGTGCAGTTTCGCAGCCCAGCGCTCAACCGCTGCGCCACCAGGGGAGGCCCTCCATTTGCTTTTTAAATAAAGGTCTTCTCAGAAAAAACTTAATTATTTGAATTAAGGGCTTACAAACTTTTAAGTGATTCAGAGCTAAGCCGTTAAATACCCATTAGAAAATTCAAATTATCCTGGCAAACCTTTGCTTATAGACAAGGGTAGTTAATCATTGTTACCACCTCACTCTGCATGCTGAGCTGTGTGCTCTACTGTATGTATATTGACTTCTACTTTGCTGTTAACTTTTAGTTGTACCTCAGAGCGAACACTGTAACAAGCAATGACACATGGAAAACAAAAAATAAGGACTTATTCTTGAGAGACTGTTCATTCTCCAATTAAATTTAGAGAGTTATACTGTGCTTTAAGTTTGTTATTTCAATGACACATTTTTAAAAAAATAAAATACCTCCCCAAAAGAAAAAGTGAAACAATTTTTAAAGGAGACAGTCCTTTAAAAAAAAGTACTTTAACTCCAACATGCATTCTTTTTGAGGTAAAAAGGTTAAGTTTGGCTTTAGATGAGGAAAAAGTATATATGGAAAGACTGTGAACTATTCCATCAGTATTTTATAATTGTTTTTGTCTCATGAGTGATTTTTTTGTTTCTCAGGAAAGGCTGAGAAAACACATGCCCACTTTTCCCCATCATGTGAAAAACAGATTTCCAGATTGATGATGTGGAGCAATTTAGACACAGAGACAACAGAACAAAGCATTTTTGAAAGCCCTTGGGGGTTATTAAACAGTGAATATTGTGGGACACTGGCAGATTTCCAAGTCTCTCAAATATTTTTAGCAACTGCAGGGTAGTTTATGTCAATATTAAATCCATAGCATCATCCAACAGTTTAATCCTATTTATTTTAAAGGAGAAATCCCCGGATTCCATGCGAATGACACAGATACTACCTCCAGTTGAAGGGACTTCTGTACCACCTGTTTGTTTTTCCCCTAGTTTAGTTCCTTTCTGCCCACCTGCAAGTCCTCTGCCAGAAAAAATGCCTGAAAAGGGGGACGACTCACAACCAATAGAACCAGGTAACATTTGATATTCTCTCTGCCTGCTCTCAGGAGAAGTGTGCCTTTTATTTTTAGTGTTTTCATGTTTATCTTAATATTTTTTTTCTCCAGTTAAATTGTTTTCTTCCTAGTTAGAGACATCTCTCATTTGAACTCAAATCCTGGAATACTCTTAATAGAAAGTGTACTCAGATGCCCGAAAAATCCCTTATTGACGACAGTAGTGTGTTTTTATAGAGCAGTGTGTACTTTAGTTTTTTAACTTCATTTCCTTTAAACTTCTGCTTTATTTCCTTTAAACCATGAAGCAATGCCATGGAATAGACATGGGTTATATTCTTCAATTTTATAAATGAGAAAAGCAAGGCTTAAAGGAACTGAGTGACTTGTCCAAGGTCACTCAGCTTATAAATGAAGTGAACAGGATTTCAATGCAAGTCTGTGGACCTATGTTAAGTTCTGCATTTAAGTAGTAGGATACAATCATTACGAGCATGGAGTATGAAGTTAAGAAGATAATCCTCTCACTCTCTGGCCCCAAGAGTTGTCTTTTTCTTACAAACTGCCTTCAAACTTTGGTCTATATCTTCTCATCTTCTTTGCCTGGAATGCATATATTCTTTCTCTTTGTGTGGCTATCTTTCTTACTCTTTATATTTTAGCTTTAAGTATCACTTTCTCAGCAAGGTCTTCCCTGACTTTATTCCCTCAGAATAAACAAAAAGTAACTTTTATATGTTGTATACAACTTTCAAAACATTCATTAAAAGAGTTTCAGTGAACAGTCACAAAAAGACAAAGGATAGTTTTTCCTTTCAATCTAAAGTTATGTACATCTTCACATTCAGATCTCTTAAGTGAGAAGCAACTTTTTCCAAGCCCTACATTTCTCTTTTCCTTGTATACACTGCTCATCACAATCTACTTTTCCAGTGTATACAATCTACTTTTCCAGGGCTGAAAAGCATCAATGATTCTTATTGTGAAAGGAAACACACAAAAATTGTGGGTCAATGCAGTAAACTGGCTCATCATCAAGGACCAAGTTACATTTAACTTGGGGTCCATTCCCAAGGCCCATGATTCTTACCTGAGTTCCTAAGCCTTTATTACCTCAACTTTTGGCCTAGATTCCAGATCCCAGAGATATTAAATACTATCTGTCCCATGGTTCATAATCCAGATTAGAAGGAAATAAAATTAAATGTGTGCATTTATTGGTGAGAAGATAAAACAGATCAGATCAAGTATAAAGCAAAGCCATGAGCAAAAATTATTACCTATTTTCCAAATCTCCATCTTCTGCCTTCTCAAATCTATCCCGTTTAGCATGTTCCACCTTAAACATCCTTGAGTATAGTTGAGTTCCGGTCTGCTCCAGTGTCTTCAGAGGATCCTCATGTTTATGAAAATAGGTATACATTTCCCCTATAACTTCCACCTTTCATAGCTTCCTCTCAGTAGTCTTTTTCTTATCATCTTAATTTAGATTGCACATTTGCAAACTGTGACCCATTAGCCTCATCTAGCCGGCTGCCTATTTTTGTAATAGTTTTATTGAACCTAGCGAGGCCTTTTCTTTATGTATTGTCTATGGTTGCTTTTACACTATGTTGGCAGAGTTTAAGTAATAGTACACAAAACCTAAAATCTTTACTGTAGGGCCTTTTGATAGAAAGTTTGCCACCGCCCCAATTTTGATCAAACAGAGCTGTTCACAGTCAGATTTAGTGGAGTCAAGACAGACCTGAGTTGACACCTGATACCAAAAGGGTCACTGTCCCTTAGTTTCTTCATTTGTAAAATGGCCAAATAATACTTAACATTATGGGGTTAGCCCTACATGTGTAAAAGCATGTTCCTGGCACACAGTAAGCAGTCAATACAAGCATTCTGCTGTTTCTGTTAGCACTGGGCTTCATCCTCCTACACATCCTCCTCTGCTTCTCATACTAATCCTTCCCTGTACCCCCTAATGAAATGTCTCCTCGTTCCCAGCATTCTGATGTGATTTGATATACCCCTAATGTCATCTTGTCATAGATTTTATATTCCCTTCCAGACTATCAGTTCATTAAGAATTCGCAGTTACTTAAGTTGATATAGCCTGGATAGGATCTCACCTGAAATAAATACAACCTGATTTGCATTGAATACATTTGTAAGGGAGAGATCAGTGAGGACTGGCATCTTTAGCACAGATTTCATTAGGAATTCCTCTCAAATAAACATATAGATGCTATATGGGGGCATAATAATTGAAAAAAAATATAAAGTCAAAAGAGCTTATAATTTCTATTTTATGATACAATCTTGTAATCTTCCATGAAAACTTGTAGCCACTTGTATTGGTTGGCTATTACTATATTTTAAAAAAACCCTAAAACTTAGCAGGTTAAAACAACAAGCACTTAACCAAAGTTTCTGAGGGTTAAGAATCCAGGAACAGACTAGCTGAGTGGCTCTGGCTCAGGGTGTTAAGAGTGGTTGCACTCACACTTGTTAGATGGGGCTATAGTTATCTAAAGGCTCAGCTGGGGCTAGAGGATCTTCTTCTGTGCTCCCTCATGTGGCCATTGAAAGAAGGCTTCACTTCACCAGCACATGAACTTCTCCCTAGAAATGCTCAAACATGGCTTTCCCCAGAACAAGTGATGAGAGGGAGGGAGAGTGTGGGGCCAAAATATACACTACAATGGCATGACAATTGCATCTGCTTTATTTTGTTGACTGTATAATTCAACCTGGTAAAAAGTGGAAGGGAACTATATAAGGGTATGCATACCTGGAGGTTGTGGGTCCTTGGGAACCTTCTTGGGGAATGGCTATCACAGTGCTTAATCCCTGAGTAATATTTGTTCCAAAGTGTAGGGGCAGGAATGACCACGGTGCAGGTTTTCTGATGCCATGCAGACAGGGTAAAGGAGGAGAGAGTCCTAGAGCCCTCAGTGGCTTTTGCAGGCTTTTATTGGGATTACCAGGTACACGGCAGGCAGGGGTGCTGGGGGCCGGGAGGCTGGCAGTCCTCCCAGCCCCCAGCAAGACTTCATTCTATCTGGGCTCTCTGCTTCTGCTTCTTTGCTTCTCTCTTGGCTTCTTTTTGGCTTCTTCTGGCGTCCCCATGACGCCGCCCTTAAAAAGCACAGTCTCAGCCCAGGTGAATCCCATCTACCTGTGCCCACACCCTATTCCAGGTGCCCGCCATCAGGCATGCATTCAGGACCTCAAGGATCCATCATCTGTCCTGATGGCAGGAGGGCAGAAAAGCCTGACATTTTCCCTTACCCTACACAAATGAATAGTGTTTACCATATTCATGTGAATGAAGCAGTTGTTATCGGTATCAAAGTCTTTAAACTTTCAAAAAGAGATTTTTGAAATCTCTGTGAAATTTCACTGTGAATGAATTCTATCCATTTCTCTTAACATGAGGTTAAAGAAACTTTAATAAAATTATACGTACACCTTCTATTATAGATTAATTTGTGTTGTTTTGTTGTCTTTCAATCTCAGTTGAATTCTAATCTCTTTTTCCTTTGAATCATTCAGATTATTTTGAAGATAAAATGACCGGAGAGAGAGAAACAGATAATTCTTCAGCGGGAGATGCAGAAAGTCTTGGAGAAACTACTGATGTCTTAAATATGGTAATGGCTTCCTCCTTATCTGTCTAGATACAAGTTTGAATTTTAGTTCATTACCTGTTGGTAATGTGTGTGTGTGTGTGTGTGTGTACTTCTTATACTTTTATACATATAAATATCTTTGTTTCATTTTGCTTGTTATTTTTAAAACAGCTTTATTGAGGTATAGATTATACACAATAAATGTCATCTCAGTCTTCACACCATCAGTATGCAATTGAGAGTTGCTTGTACTGCTAGCTGAACTGTTTCATATTAATTTTATTTATATATGTTTGGAATATATATATATAGTGTTTAGAATAATCATATATTCTTTTTTTGACATACGTGTGTATTTTAATTTCAGACACATGTGATGAGCCAGAATGCCAATGACAAGCCATTAAAATTCTCACCAGTTCAAAAACAAAAGGTATAATATGAAGAGTTATTTTCATTATGGTGGGTAAGAACAGTTTAAATTACTTTTTTTCCCTGCAGGGTTTCTGGAAAGCACGTTTGAAATGTAAGCTTTCACTGACTTTAGATTTAACAGACAGCACATGGCATAGATAGCCTCTGTTTGCACTTGTTCTCTTGGTATGTGTTTTCTGTGATGCAACAACTTTCATTGCAGAAATTCACTCTTTGAAGTCACTAGCAAATCATACTATCCATATTTGCATAATGTCAAGGCAAAAGATTATTATTGCAATTCTTAGGTATTAGAAGAAGCTGCTGTTATCAGAATGGTTTTGGACTTTCGTTGAGTGTGACTTTGGGGAGTTACTGTGCTGACCTTACTGCATGATAATATCCAACTCTTAAATTTTATGGTTTAATGAGAATATTTGACAATTCCTTTTCTAGTGTTTGGAATGGGCTTTAGTATATCAAAAAATTGATAGCATAAAACCAAGATTAAACATTTGGAAATTAGTCAGAAGCCATGCATGGGTGATAAAGCAGACACCTTTAATGAATAGCAAATGAACAGCAAGAGGAAGTAGTCTGTGGTTTTCACAATGCTGGAGAGATAAAGGCCTGACCTAAAATCCTTTGCTTTTTCTGGCTTTAAGGACTAGTGGGGTGAAAGGATGAGGGGTTTGGAGATTAGGAAAATAAATTGGATGAATATAAATTGAGGGAAGAAGGCTATAGAAAACATTTAACATAATTTCTTGTGCCTTTGCCAGATTGCTAAGCCAGAAAGCCTTAAAATCAAAGTCACTGAAATGCAAGAGAATCTAGCTAAGTTATAAAAATTTAGTGCCAGTCCTCATTAGTCTTATCTACATTTTACTGTGAGCCATGGTGAAAAACACCATTCCTTTCGAATATGGAAAAGCTGTTCTCCTAAACACAGTTGTGGAAGCTCAGTAAATGTTGACTGCTTAACTGACTATACTGTTAAGCAGCCATCTTCCCCTGTCTTTCCTTCCTCTTTCTTTAGATCCTGGCCTCTGCCCCTTCTGTGCAGCTTTACCATACTAGGGAAATAAAGGCTTGTAATTTTAGGATTCAATTCTGACAACTGACCTCTGTTTCTTAGGCTCTTGAAAGAATTGTGACTTTTTAAAGAATAGAACCTAGAACAAACAGAAAGGAAAATCACTTCCTTTAAAACTGATATATATAGGGTCGCCAGTTAGCTCAGTTGGTTAGAGCATGTTGCTAATAAAACTGATATATATGTATACTTTACATTGCCCTTTTTAAGTAGAGGCCTTGCCAGGCCTATCTTAGAGAATGAAAAAATGCTATATTTCTATATATTAATTTTTTAACCTGTATGTCTTAATCATTTCTGTAGCAAAATGTGACTTATTCTTAGGCCAAACACCCATCACAATTTATAAAAGTTGTCTTAGTGAGGTTTTACTATGTAGAGACCCACTTTGTCAAATATTTAAGTTCATTAGCTTGTAGGTTTTAGCTCAACAGTTTGACCTAAATGGTCTTAATATTTCATTTAATTCTCAGTGCTAAATTCCATAATTTTTCTAAAAACTCCTACTTTTTACCTTTAGCACTTTTTCTGTGTAGAAAGTGGTTTTATGAAAATTATTACAATTAAAGAATATAATGAATAAAAGGAAGAGGGTCAGAAATGTGAAGATTTTGTTTTAAAAAGAAAAATATACACATTATTTAGTATGTAGATTTTTAAAAGTTCATTTCCAGTTTTCATTTTAGTTTTTATTCGCCTAGAAATAAGCTATTTACTTTTCCCATTTGTACAAATTTCACATCTTCATTTCTTTAATTTTGAAATATTCATGGAATCAAAATATCAGAATTTGACAAGTGCTAAGGAAGATAGAAAAAAAACCTGAACTGCACTGTATTCAAGAGACATATGTTTTTTAACAGTATTTTGCAAAATCTGTTTGGAAATGCAATGTATTTAAAGATTGATTCAGATTAAGCAAAAGGACAGAGAATAAATATTGATGGTACTGTTAGTAATGACAAAATTAAGGCAGCTGGTAAGAATTTGAAAATTAAACATGTTACTGAATCAAAATAGACCATAGACTTAGTAAAATGTCTGGTAACACTGGATATTTTTATCCTCCTAATGAAACTTACAAGTATTTAGTAGATAAGTTACCTTGCTAACTAATAGTAGCATGACAATTACTTCAAAAAATTTACAGAAACAAGGAACAATTGAGCAACTGAAGCAGTGTACAGCTCTTTCTGAAAGCGATGATAGTAATGAATGTGAAGAGATGTCTCAAAAACTGAAAGAAGGGAAAGCATATAACCAGCTTTTGGCAAAAGGAATGTACATGGCACAAGAAGCTGTGACTCTGGAAACATTTTCAGATGAGGACGTAGGTAATGAGTCAGGCCAGCCTGCACCTCAGGCCAACATCTGTCCAGGGAATTTTCAAAGAGGATTATTTAGATGTCCAAGTAGATATAACCTTTATCCACTCAGTAGTAAGGAAATAGTAAACCAAAGTAGTAAAAGATGCAGTGAGAGGTTTTCAGAAGCAGAAGAAATAGACTATGAGAAGGAAACAGTGCTGGAGGAGATGGCAGGTCTGAAGAACGTGAGACAGAGGGAAAGGAGTTTTAAAAATACTGATACATTTTTTGACAAATCACCAAATAGAAATGTGAATTTTGAAGATGAAGAAAATAAAGATTTGATTAAGGAACGTAGACGAAAAAAGGAAGATCGGTTCTTTGACAGTGAAAGCGAATCTGTAGAGGAGCCAGAGTGTTACTGGGACGGTGAAAGTCAGCAGGGTACAGCTGATGCCTTCGAGCTACCTGACTCGGTAGAATTTAGTAGTGGAGAGAAGGAGGACGATGATGTGGACATTGACCCGATCTTGTGGTATAGCAGATATTTTATTGAACATGGACATGAGGAAGAGCCTGAACACAAAATGTACAAGTTCCTGGCAAAATATGATACTAAGTGTGACCGCTTATCAGAGATTCCAGAGGAGCAGGAAGGAACAGAGGATTCAGAAGCAAGTGGAATAGAGGAGCATGAGATAGAGGCAAATATGGAGGAGCCTGAAGGAAAAGAGAAGGAAGTAGAGATCCTGGCAGATGACCTTACAGACAGAGCAGAGGTGAGTGAAGGCGAGGGAAAGTTAGTGGGGGAGGCTAATGATGTGCCTGAGAGTGGAGGCGGGGGCATCTGGAAAGAAGGTAATTCAGGAGTAGAACAGAGGCAGAGCGAGAAGGGGGAGGAGGTGAAGGCAAGAGGGGAGCAGAAATGGAGAGCCCAGGTAAGGGAGAGCAAGATCTAGATGAGGAAAAAGATCTGGAGCAAAAGGAAAAGGAACCAGACCATCAGGAAGGAAGAGACAAAGGGATGGAGGAAGGAGAAGGGGAGGAGCAAGGAGACCGTGATGGACAGGGAGAGGAGGCCATAGATGCGGGCAAGGGGAGCGAAGAGGAAAAGGGGGAGGGAGACAGAGAACAGGAAGGGGAGGAGGGGGGACAGAGGGAAAAGGGAGAAGGACGAGAGGAAGGACAGGGGGGAGAAGAAGAAAAGGGAGGATATAGGCGAAGGGAAAGAGGAAGAAGCAGAAGAGGAAAGGGAGGTGGAAGGGGAGGAAGGAGAGAAAGAGGAGGAAGGAGAGGAGGAAGAGGAGGAGGGAGAAGGGGAAAATGAGGGAGAGGGGGAGGAAGAAGAGGGGAAAGGGGAAGAAAAGGGGGACCAAGGGGAAGAGGAGGGAGAAGAAGGGGACCAGGGGGAGGAGGAGGAAGAAGAAGGGGACCAGGGGGAGGAGGAGGAGGAGGAAGAAGAAGGGGACCAGGGGGGAGGAGGAGGAAGAAGAAGGGGACCAGGGAGAGGAGGAGGAGGAGGAGGAAGAAGGGGACCAGGGGGAGGAGGAGGAAGAAGAAGGGGACCAGGGGGAGGAGGGGGAAGAAGAGGGGACCAGGGGAGGAGGGGAGGAAGAAGAAGGGGACCAGGGGGAGGAGGAGGAGGAAGAAGAAGGGGACCAGGGGAGGAGGAGGAGGAAGAAGAAGGGGACCAGGGAGAGGAGGAGGAGGAGGAGGAAGAAGAAGGGGACCAGGGAGAGGAGGAGGAGGAGGAAGGGGACCAGGGAGAGGAGGAGGAGGAAGAAGAAGGGGACCAGGGAGGGGGAGGAGGAAGAAGAAGGACCAGGGGGAGGAGGAGGAGGAAGAAGAAGGGGACCAGGGGGAGGAGGGGGAAGAAGAAGGGGACCAGGGGGAGGAGGAAGGAGTAGAGGAAGCGGGGGAAGGGGAAGAAGGGAAGGAGGGAAGAGAGCAGGGGCGTGGGAAGTGGAGAAAGGAGAAGGGGAAAAGGAGCAGGAGAAGGGGAGTGGGAGGCAGGACTGGAGGGAGGGGAGAGGGAAGGCAAGGAAAGGGAAAGAGAGGCCTGGGGAGCTGGGGAGAGGGAAGAGGAAGAAAATGGGAGGAGAGAAGAGGAGGAGGAAGGGAAGGACAAAGAGAAAGAGGAGAGGAGTGGGCAGGAGAGGGGCGCTGAGGAGAGTGAAGGGCAGGGAAGACTGGGTGCAGGACTAGAGTTCAGGAAGGTGAGCGCTGTCAAAGCATCCAGGAAGTGTGGCAATGATAGGGCCTATCAAAACAAGTGCATCGCTGGTGCAGAGGGAAAGGGGGGAAAGCATGAAGTACAGAGGTGCCAAGTGACAGTGCAGGCAAAACAGCTTTCAGAAAAGCAGCCGCCAGGTTCCAAAACATTCTGGAATAACGTTTTGCCGCATTATTTGGAATTGAAATAACAAAGTTCAAATTTGACCTGGTTATTTCAACCAATTTGATCACCTTACACATAATCATTTTATAAGACTGATTTTATGTCATGATTATGTGTGGTCCAGTAGTGCCTGATAAAGACAGGCTGAGGCAGTGGTAAATGTGCCCCACCCCCAAATTATAAGTGTGCAATTGGAAAACCATCCAAAGGTCATCGCAAATAGTTAAAATTTTACATTCCTCATTAAAGACGGCTTTCGGATGCAGGCTAGACGTCCGCTGTAAGACTGGTGTGTGTTTCCTAGTTGGTCCCTTTTAAAATGGCGCAGATCCTTAAGTGCTGTAAAAACCGCTACTTTCCTATAAATATGTTAGCGTTATTTTTTTTTTAATCTATGATTACAATTTGCCTACCGCATAGAATAGTTTTTATAAGACTAGAGGATATTCTAAAGCTGAAACGAAGGACTCACTTTTAAGAAGGTGCCTGGGATGATGTGGTAACTATAGCCCCTTCCCTTGGGGCTTTCCTCCTGACAGGATACATAACATGAGCTGCTCAGCCCCGTTTGTTTTTCACCTAATTCTTTCAAGGAAGACAAATTACACTTTAACATTAATCTACCTTTCTAGAAAATATTGTTCTTTACTCTTAAAGATAGCTTTCATATGTCTTGTTTTCTATGATTCTGTATTTCTAAACTCCTATCATTTCCGCGCTTCAACTGTGCTCTCGGAAACTCATTCCTGGTACCTGTTCTGTACCCGTGTTCTTCAGTGACTGTGGTAATTCTATTTGTTGGTTGCTTATCAGAATATTTCAAGTAAAATAAAAATTAACTGTATAGGTCAACACTTGTTTGTAAATAGAGAAACTAATAATAGATATTGAATTTTAGAGAGTCCAGATTTCCACTAATTTCAATCTTCCCTTAAAATTTTCAATGTATTCAATGCAGCTCCTTTATCTGAGTGTTCATTCATAGCTCCCTTTTCAACTGATTTCCTTCTGTAGTCCTTTCCATATCTTGGACATGAGCGGGACGTGAGGGGTTTCTTATAAAAATTTCTTTTATTGAGGAAATTTTAAACTGCGAGTTACTAATGTTAGCGGTTTGGACAGTCATCTTCACTGAGGACATAATCAGCCAGTGATAGTACAGTGATGTTCTTAAGATATGCCCATTTCGGTATTTGAACTGGTCTAAATAACCACTTTTAAACAGCATTTCATACCCATTTTCTCATACTTCCTTGGACAAAAAAAAATTGTGTTTTTTTAGAAGTTCTGTTTCATGCACGTATCTGGTGTTCTGGTCAGAAGAACACCACCTAATCATTTTGAGACCTGAGTTAATACTCAGTTAAACGAATTGGAATAACTGATTCTTCCTTTACTGCCCCCATCTACTAGCTGGTCAAGCTTTTCCTGTAGTTTATCAGTGATCATTTCTGAGGCAGGTATGAGTTGTGCACGTAGAATTCATTGAGTTACAGTTTCAAGTGAGGATTCTGGCAGAAACACACTCTCAGGTAAGCCACACAGGAGTGCCACAGAAACAGCCACTGCTGCTGACCAGCAGCACACAAGGTGAGTGCCACTGAGATGTTTTCTATTATTTCACTATAGAGATACATACTGTATCACACCTGTATTAAAAATAAAATGCTACTGGGTAGGAAGGTGCTGTAATTCCTTTCCCTCCTTTCCATTGTGGAAATTAAATGTGATATGCCCAGTACCTGACACACATAACTTTGTATTTGGTACATATTATTCGTTCAACAAATATTTATGTACCAAGCACCAAACAGGAGTACAGAAACTTCCCCAGCTCAAGTGGATCTCAAGAAGTGAGGGCTGCTTACAGTCACCCTCCTGTTACCCTCTTACCTGCTAGGGACATTCAGTAGGTATAGATTTCTTGAAAGAACACCAGGTAAAAGGAGTTCCTGCATCTCTACCTGAACTATTGCTTAACAATGTCCTTTTGTTTCTCAGCACCCCCTTGTTCTTAGCCAGGACTGCCCAAAGGTTAAAAAAAAAAAAAAAAAGATCTGAGTACAAATCTTTGGCTTTCCTCCATTAAAGCCTTATTTAATAAGAAGAAAATGTTTTTGTGCCTGGGGTTTGCAGAGAATAAGACAAAGCTTCTGATCTCAAGCAAGTCTTAGTTACTTCTATAGACTGGCCTAAAAATTGACTGGTACAATAGAGTGCTTTAGGAGCAGCAAATCAGCTACCACAGAGAAAGGCTAAGAAAGTGCTTCCAGGGAACAATGGTAAAATGTAAACTGAGTCATGAAAATGTGAACTGAATCAGGTGAAGGGGCTGGTGGGGGGGGACTGGGCTTCTGACCAGTGGGAGCCATGGCCGTACAGTGTGACTGACTGCAGCCTCAGGGATCCTTTGGTCCCTGGGTGGAGAAACAAAGGATGTATTTGTAAAGGAAATTAAGCCACACAAACATGGGCTTTTGTAACTTCATTCTGGCAGCAATATGGAGGATGGATTGGAAGGAAATGGTACCAGAGCTAGGGCTACCAGTTAGGAGGCAGTTATAATAGACCAGGCAAAGACTGGAGAGGGACAGAGCTAGGACAGTTGTGACAGAGAGTCAGGCACACAAAGATTATTGAGAGACTTTTAGGGATAGAACTGGAGGGCTTAGTAAAGAGATGTAGCTTGGAGGGAGAGAAAAGGCCAAATACTCTTTTTGATTCTGGCCTGGAGATTGGGTAGAAGGAGTGCTAGTCCTCAAGACTGAGAACAGAGAAGTAGAAGCCATTCTAGGGAGACAGGGACTTATTAGTCCAGATGTTCAGCAAGCTGATACACGTATGGGTCTGGAGCTCAGAGGAAACTGCTGAGTACCACCAGCTTACATATATAGTTGAAAACGTAGAGTTGAATGAGAGACAGCTTTCCTATTATGAACAGAAGAGAACAGAACTGAAGATGGGATTTAGGGAACCATCAGTATGATAAGGAGGTGGTTTAAACCCATTCTAGGGAAGAGAGGTCTTGCCCAAGCCAAACAAGGAGCAACGGGAGGGTGAGAGAGAGGCCCAGCAGAGGGCTGGGGCAGAGCCCACATTACCAGCAAAGAATAAGCTCCGGGAAGTCTGCTTTGCCAAGAAATGGAATCAGAACTAGACTTTGAAAAATAAGTATCAGATCTAGAGCACTAACTGACATAATACTAAATTTAGGAAGGGAGATTTACTCTGGAAAAAAATTCCTAAATTTGTATTTGCTATTACACTATATGATGGTACATCAGAATAAAATCTCATCCTAGAACCCTGAAATTGAGATTTAAAAATAAATGCTTTCCTACCTGGTATGACTTAGATACAGTTTTATGCTCTATTAACCTTTTTGGACAACATTTTCTATCCTCTATGCCTCTCTCAGGATTTATGGCATGCCTCAATGGCAGCACAAATTCCATACTTTATAGTTTTTTTTTTCCTTCTAACGTAAATAAAATCTCTTGAAGTCTAGTACATGCACAGAAGAGTACATATCTCATGCAGTTATAGCGCGATGTATTTTCCACAAACTGAGCATGCAGATACTGTCAACATCTATATCAAATTAAAACCCAGTGTCAGCTCCCCTTCACTCCACTTCCAGACATCGCCCATCCACCCCCTCACCGGGTGGCCACTAGGCCCATGTGGACTTCTAATAGCAGCCTTGAGTTTTTCAATCATGCAGTTTAATTGTATTCATAAGCAACCCAGAACTTCATGAAGAGCCTTTGATTTCTTGTTATTTCCATGAGAAAAGTAAGCAACCAGATGAACGGCTGCATCTTACCTGTGCTGTGTCTGGCCAGTGAAGCAGGGTCCTTTTGTGCAAGCTAGGCCCATTCACTTCTTTCCTGTGGTCCTAACACAAGAGATTGTGTTTCCATTCTCCAGACTACGTCTTTTCTTACATGGTTCTGCTGACAATATATTTAAACTTTCCCCTTTTTATAAAATGACAGTAGTTCTACCACTCGTAAATTGTTTCGGTTTGAAGGTAAGTGCCATAGTTGTTCAAATGTGTAGATTAATGTTAAATGTGCTTAATAAGTGTAAAGTGTGAAAATAGATGATGTGATTTCTAGTGAAAAGGTCATTTTTTCTAAGCGTTTTCTCAAATATAGAAAATGACATAATTCCAACAGTTCTTCTTTGGTAGAAATTTTCTTAAAGTCAGTGAGGTAGTTGTCGTTCACTAAAAACGAGATGTCTTTTGCTAATTTCTAAAATGAGGTGAAACTCCATGTTCCTTTTTTATAATGGCATGTTATCCTGTTACATGAATACCTTAGTTAACTAAGTTGATTGAAGGGGACCCAAGGGCTAGATTAGTCGCTCTCTCCAAGTCATAAGGACTTAGCCTGAATACAGCTCACCAACCCTGCTTCTGGGAGACAGATGGGCCAAGTCTGAGATTCTGTCTCAGGAGCACCGTTCTTTCTAGTTGGCCTTTCATTCGTGTACATTTATCAACCGTAAGTCTTCAATCCGGTAATATTGCTTCCTGTTCCTTTCCAAAGTAGGCTGTAATTTTAGTTACCCATAATGTGCATCTGGCTAGGCCTAATATACACTATTAGTTCCTTAGAGGGGGAATCATGTGGGAAAAAGAAGCTTTAGCTGTTTTTCATAAGCGGTAGCTACCTTGTGCTTAACCCTATCCAACCTCGCGAGCAGTATGTCCTTTGATATAGCTGCCTTGCTCCTGTCTCCCACGTCCCCGCTCCGTGTACTGCCGCGTGACCTTTGATTAGCCAAGTGCTCCCAGAGTAACTTCTGAAACTCTTTTTAAATCTCAAGGCTTCACTTCTGGATTGTCTGTGCTCAGTGGGAATGCTATTTGGCCACACCCTTTGTGGCCTGCGGATGCCACTTAATACCTGTGACTAAGGTGTGAAATATAAATATAAATATATCCTCTCCCTGGCATGAACTCTCACTTTGTATTTTTGCCAGAAAAAAAAAGTGAGTTAATAGAGGCATTATTTTCAAACCACCCACCAAAGATTCTGCTATTGAATGGAATGTGAAGGGTGTGTATGGTCTGAGGCAAATATGGCCAAGGTGGGCTTTGAAAAAGCCTTCTTCTCCCCAGTGAATGGCACTGATTACTTACTGCCTCCCTTGTTGTAGGGACCATTATACCTTTAGTGATGCACATGAATAAATGAAAAGCATAGGGGGGAAATCTGGTAATAAGCCTAACAATAAATAGTATTCCACTCAAAATATAAAATTGAAAGAAAAAGCCTCAGTATAGAATAAAGACAAAACTTAATATTTTCCACCTAAATGAATAAGCATCTCATCATTTACTATCAGTCTATCAAACCCATAGATAATTTGCATTAGCTGGCCAAGAGCCAGATGGACCAAGTTCCACCTCTATTTGGTTTTCCCTCTGCTTTAAATAACTAAGCTCAAATATTTAAACTGTCTATGTTCCTTTATCTTTTTCCTGGAATATAAAAATTATACTTACCTCTAGTGAACACCAATGAATGGTACTTCTGAAGTGATTCTACATTTCTGTTTTGGAATATAATGTAGATCAGATTATGCTATAATACTTCAATAGATAGGAAGCTTTTGAATATCTCTGAAATGTTTTACAAACAAACACTCTTTTGAGACAGCCCAGAAAAATATCAAAATTTTCTTCCATTTTAACCTTGCCATAGGTGCTTAATAGAATTTTGGAATCCTAATCATTAAAATGTTGACATAGAGCCACATGCATAAAATCCTTGGCAATATAATAAGTGGCTATTCAGCAAGAATTACACAGTATTTTATTTCTTTGACTTCAACATTTGAATTAATAATTCAAAATGTTTTGAGATGGTGTCGATTATTTATGATGGCAGTATAAAATCTGTGTTTTTAAAACTAAAAATCTTAGCTTTTCCTTGACAACTATCAATGTTGTCACAGGATAACGAATTTTCAGAAAATGAGGGTCTAGACAATGTAGATGAAGACACTGATGACAACCTGGAAGAGGAAAAGAAATCTGTGAAAGATCATGAACATCCTGAAGATGACCACAGCAAGGCCGTTGAACAGGTACCACCAACAACTGAAAAGGTATAAAATGCTTAAGTCCTGAGATCCTGCCTAAGAGAAAGTATGTGGGTCCCCTGCTCCCCTACAGAGGGCAGATTCCAGCTGCTTTTGAGAATAAAAATACTTCCATGAGTGACTTTTGACTTTTGTCATGTGCAGTAGGAAAAGCTTTTGGAAATGTATGAATCAGACACACTTTGTCCCTAGCCCTCTTTCTCCAATTCTTGGCAGCTTTCTTTCTGTGCTCTACATTAGTGATATCAGCTGATATAGGCTAGGATAGAACACTGTTAAGAAACTAACCAAAGAGTTCAGCACTGGATCCTTGAAATGATGAAATTGCAGTTAGGAGCCCTGGTACTGATGGCAGAAATGGGAGGTATGTGTGTGTGCATACATGTGGGTATTTATATAGAGACAAATGAAAGTCATTTGCAGCAGTATTTGAGACTGTGATCCATTCTGCACAAAAATAGTTTACAAGAAAGTACTCATAGGAGGACTGGGAGGTATTACTGAGGAAGAGAAAGCCATCCTGAAAGTGGAGCAAGGGATGTCAGAAACATCTCTTCTGGTTGGTGGTTTTGTGTAAGGGTAACCCTGCTAAGAGACAGACGGAAAGTTTGAAATCATTCCTTTGCTAACACTATTCCGAAATAGTGACTCTGTATTGATTTATTTTCATCTTCCCTTGTTGGGTCTCTTGCATAGAACACTGAGTTAATCATGCCTTCTTGCTAAGGAAACCTGCCATCACTGGGCTGTGCATAGCTCCTCTCGACTAGTTGACTTACTTTAGCCCCGTCCTTATCATCCCTGACATAGACAGTCATTGAAACATGTTTTTCCTTTTATTTGAATATATACATGTAAAACATGTATTTTGTGTGTGTGTTGTATTTTTAATTTATAACATGTAATTGTGCTGTAGAGGTCATTCTCTCTCTTGATTCCCTCTTTTTCCCAGATTCCTTCCTCTCAGTGAGAAAAAATATGTTCTAACAGTTATCATTTTCTTTCAGAAGAGGAGGAAGATTGTTTATTGGAAATATTTATAAGTTTCCGTTAGGGTAGTCCCTAAAATTCTTTGACCTAGAAATCATTAAACTCCTATTTGACGTTGACACCATTTGACATCATATACCAATTAGTATTCCTGAGTTTTTGAATGGAATTTTTGTTTTTGTTTTTTTTTTTTGCATGTTTTATTTGTTTGTTTGTTTGTTTGTTTGTTTATACATGCACTGGGTACAGTCAGAAGTGCGGGAGGGTGAGAGAATTCACCAGAGCCAGAGCAGGGAGCAGAGCAGGCAGAAGGACCGAAGTACACTGCTGAGGAGAGCAGCGGGTGGCAGGAGAGGTCTGTGCGCCATGTGGGACCCTCCTCCGGTGGCCGGGGAGCAGCCGGGGATCGAACCGGCGCTGCAAAGGCTGTGGGCAGCTTCGCAACCCAGCGCTCAACCGCTGTGCCACCAGGGAGGCCCTTGAATGGAATTTTTGAATCATATAATTTTTTTAATCGTTCAATTTTAAGCTAAGATATTTTACATTTTGGACTCATTTTTACAAGAGTCCAGCAAAGTAAAGAAATTGTCACATGTTTAGCTTGTTAGTTAGAGATCAGCTCTGGAGCCCTGCTTAAAACCAAGGCTAAGTTTTTTAATACAGCAGAAATACGTTTTTTATTATTATATTGTTTCTTTTTTGTTTATAGGACAACAAAGTCAACCCGGAGCAATGGGCCATTCATGAATACAATGAAAATCCAAAAGGTATGAGCATGTTTACTTCAGAAACAAGTGTTTAAAAAGGCTAGATACCTAACATACATACAAAACACCTACATTTATGTGCGCATGTATATGCTATGACTGAGTAATTATAGCTGCCACACGTGTTCTATCTCACTTTCTCCTGTCACATGGCCCTTGTAGCCAATTATGAAATGTGTGAAATCAGCTTATTCTGTTCTCATCAATAACCACCCTAGGTTCTTCACCTAAAAATATTTATATTACTCACAGCTGCTTTTATGTCAATGTTAAGAAGCTTAGGACAACTTTTTAACTACTTTTTTTCATCTGTGTAATCAGTATTATTAAGTTGAGCTTTTACTTCAGATCTCAAGTTTCATCGCTGGGAGCACTGCACTATTGCCTGTAACTAGGCTGACCTAGAGCCACTGAAGTCCATCCTGTTATTTCCCTCAAAGCCCAGGCTTAAGGCTTTGGTCCTTTCCCGAGCCTAGCTCTTAGTGTCAGAGAAGAGGTGTCACAGAATGGAGACACTGATCACCCTTGAGATGACCTACTTTTGTATACCCAAATCAGCTATATTTTTTACTGTACGAGTCCTGTATTATATTTCTGCATCACATCGCAGTGTTTTTTCATTGAGTTCTCATTAGAAGCAATTGTTCTAATAGTGTATATCGTACCTGAACTTAAGCAGAAGAAGGAATAGTTTCCTTAATCCTATTTTCCTCCTAACTTCTTCAGAAAGAGTAGTAAGTTATAGAATACTTGAAGCAAAATGTTAAGATATTTATCATCTTATATATTCTTAGCCTATAACCCAAAGTGTTGAAAAGAAATTAAATGTAAACTTTAAGTAGTTTATAATATAAAATTAAAACAATGCATATACTTCGTGAATATAGTTTAAAAACTCATTCTTCAACTATGTAACATGGATTAACTTGAAATGGCAAGAAATAACATGGATTAACTTGAAATGCTTGAATACAAAGAATTTAATTATAACTAGGTTAATTTTTTAAAGGCATTTTATATTTTACAGAAGTTTGCCCTGACATTTACTGTTAGCTTTGTAGCTATATTTGGATGCTGGTCTTCTAAGTATTTACATTGGTCAGTTCATTCTGGGCTTTTTGCCTTAATTCAGCTTTTCAGGAAATACACAGCGTAGTCCTTGTCCATTACTCCAGCCGTAAGCTCTTTAAGTAGTTACTGCTCCATAATACAGGGTTGGTAAAGTTTCACTAAAAACTTAAGGATTTTTCTATTTCTCATTGGTTAGAAAAAGTGTTTCTAAATATATATCCTATTATAGGACGCATGTGCAAGTCTGCAAAGAACGGTTCTTCAGAAGTCTCAGAAGAGAGTGAAAATGTAAAAAAGTCAAAAATGGTAAGTGAAATGAATTCTTTAATGTTAACTCCAAAGTATTGAATTGTTCTTTTTCACTTTTCGTATGGATACCTGCATCATCTGACTCCATGAATAGGAGTTTTTTTGGCCCCAAGACGTGAAGAATTTCACATTTTTAACATGCCTATCTATCTATCTATCTATCTATCTATCTATCTATCTATCTATCTATCTATTGGACTTTAGGTGTTTGGCTGCTCTGCCAAAATTTAATAGCCCTTTCAATAATTCATTCCATCATGTTGATTCATCATATAATAAAAGATTCACTAAATAACTGTTGTTTAAATGATAAGAGTATAACACTCATCAATATCTAAAAGAGAGTAAGGCAAAGCCAAGAACAGAGAGGATGAATGAAAAAATAAAGATGATTGTGCTTAGGAAACACTGCAACTTGCAACTTTATTTGTTCCCAACTGTTAACTTGTTTTGGTAGTGTTCAAGTGTGATGTATACATGTCTTCTCCTTGGAAGTAAGTGAATTTTGCATTTGCAGAAGAACTTTCTTTAATCACAAGGCAATATTTCAGGGTAGAATTGTTAAATACAAACATGGAAGAAAAGAAAAATGTAAAGTCCTTGTTTTTCAACTTGAGGTCTCAGCTTTAATGTCGTTTCCACATAGAGGCCTTTTGTGGCCAGTAACACTTCTGTAAAGTGTTTTGTCCCATTATTACGTCACATAACACCCTTTTCTTATCCTTCTTAGTGTTAATCACAATTTGCAGTTACAGTTATTTGTATATTTATTTGCTTTATGTCTCTCTCCCCCCACTGGTCATCAGCTCCTTGGACACAGAAACTTTTCTATTTTGTTTTCCCGTGTGTCCTTAGAACTCAGCCTAGGTCCTGGTACTTGGTACATTCTCAGTAAATATTTTTGGTTGGCAATGAGTTGTAAATTGTAAGAGGGTAAGAAAGAAGAAGAGTGAAGGTAAAAGCAGGAGCAGCCCTGTCTTTTACCCTCTCTGAAAGTTGGTGCCACTCTGCAAGCCTTCAGAATTACTTCAGCAATTTTAAAGTTATTTTGACCCAGATCCCCATAGTGTTATCTTTTACTAAAAATCACTCCATGATCATTTTTACCTTTATAAAAATTATGTTTGGATTATTGTACCAAAAGCAGAGTTGTGACTGGGCTCAAAGGACACTTTGCATTTATTATCCTTCAAATTTTAACATATTTTATTAGAACATTTGACCAAGGATTAGGAAGTTTTAGATTCTTTGTCTAGTAGAACAGAACATTTAACACATACTCTCCTATGCTTTATAGCATTCCCATGAAGACTTGTTCTAATTATAAGAGCTTAGGGAAAGTGTCTACAGAAGAAAATCAAATATAAGGGAGGAAGATGAAAAGTCATGGAGTTAGGAGACATAAGAACCTTAGCAGAAGAAAAAAGTGAAGCGGCAAGAAAAAGATTTGAAGCAACTCTCACCCAATGAACAAGCGTATTCTAGAATACATGATCAAATTTCAGGGACTTTTCAGGCTCTCCAGTTTTCAACACTGCTCATAGATGGTTCAGAGGATTTGGATGGAGGACAAGAGGGGTGGAGGCAGGGCAGCAGGAATGCCATGCGGGAGGCAGAAGGAGGTTGAGAAGAATGTTGGGATCAAGTATTCCATCCTTGTCAATTAGGTGCAATTAGATGATAGTATTCAGCTCCTCCCTATCCTTCGTGATTCACTATCTTTTGTTATATTTTTGAGAGATGGGTATTAATATAAGCCCTGACTGTAATTGTGGATTTGTCTGTTTCTGTTTATACTCCTAGTAGTTTTTACTTCACATATTTAAAGCTGTTACTTGGTTCAGTAACATTTAAGATTGTTATATCCTGTTAAATAATTGACCCCTTTTTCATTATGAAATGGCCTTCTTTATCCCCAGTGGTATTCTTGGCTCTGAAATCTACCTGATTGGATATTATAAAACTACTCTAGCTTCTTCTTTAATAGGGTTATCATGGTATATTTTTTTCTCTCCTTTTACTTTTAGCTCATTTCTGATTTTATATATCAAGTACATTTGATAAAGGCAGCATATAGCTGTATCTTGCTTTTTAATTTATTATTGAGATCACATTGGTTTCCAACATTGTGTGTGATTTAGAGGTATAGGATCACACCCTTCAGGTATATGTTGCTACACCACACCCATCACCCAAGGCAGCCATAATTCTTCACCATAGTCTATTGGACGCACTCCCCATTTTGTTCTTTTTGATCTGAAAATCTGCCTTTTAATTGTAGCATTTAGGTTATTTATATTTAATCTGGTTATTGATGCATCTAGGTTTATATCTGTCATCTTACTGTTTGTAGCATACTCCTATATCCCTAAATATGTTAAAGTTTATTTTATCTGATATTAAGATAACTTTATGTAAATGTGAACACCAACCTCATATTAGGAAAAACAGTGTTCTTCTTTACTCAAAGACCAGATCAGGAGACATGTTATTTTGTTATCTCCCAGTATTTGTAGGGAGACTTACATTAAGGGTGTAGTCCTTGGAGGGCCTCCATTTTGTTTCAGGCTCTTGGTTCTAGTGTTCCATATTTCATGGGGTCATGTCTGTTTAAAATCCTGGAGTCTAAGTTATGAGATCAATACTTGCCATTTCAGTGCTCACTCACCTGTGATGCTTCTTTCTCCTTCTTCATCTTTTAGCCCACAAGGATTTCCCTTCATTTTTTTTCTGAGCTTACCTACACATGATAAAAATCACATTTTTATACTTAGTCAGCATTTGTTGGTATTGTGTGGTTGGAGAATCTTCTAGGAGGTGGATTCCTTCCTTCATAATGGCAGAAATATAAGTTCTCCCACTGTGCCATAAACCCCTTTTCTAGACTCCAACTTTCTGGGTTACTTTTTTTCATTCTGTACCTCCATTTTTTAAGGCTAAGGCTATGCTACTAGTATTAACACCATGTTGATTTATGAAGGGGCCAAGATTCTTTGGTTTTGGCATCTTGTCAAAACCTTATTTGTGTTGTCATGCTTTAGGAGTCCTATTTTCCTTTTAGCTAAATGCTCCAAAAGGGCTTACATCAAATGTAAATTTTTAGTCGTCATCTTCTTCAATCTCTTCTGCTGTGGCTCTCTTGACCACTCCGTTCTTGATACATTTTCCTCCTTTGACTTCTGAGCTGCCTCTTTTTCCTGATTTTATTCATGCAAAGTTCAACCCTCAGTGCCGGCTCGGCTTCCCATGCCTGCCTCTCACACTTGACTCTCTCTTAGTCTCTCTCTTCTGCCCGCCTGGGATCTCTGGGTTGTGGGGTCTAATTTCATCTCTTTAGCCATTATCTGTATTCTGCCTGGCAATAGCCCAGGCCTCCCTGAGCAGCAAGTTCGTATATCCGACTACCTACTGTCTGCCATCATTTGGCAGTACTAACATTTTCCAGAAGCTCTCGTCTACAGCAACAGGGAGCTATGTCCTTTTCCTTCTCCAGAGTAGCTTAGTTTTCATCATTTTCCTCTTACAACACAAAAAAGTAAAATACTAAATTTGTTCTTTAAATTAAATATAATATTTAGCAAGGCACTGGTAGTGTTGAAGGTTAAACTCTGAAAGATGTTGTTTTTGGAGGGAATCACTATCCACTGGCAAAAGGAAAAATGCTGATGGATGCTAAGAATATGCCATTGCACATGCAGTAGACCCCATGAAGATGTTATGAGTAATGATATGACCTGCTGAAGATGATACCTCCAAATATTACCAAGTGAATATTTCACTTACTGAAAATTCTCTTGTGTATGTGTTTTTTCTAGATTTTCTTCTTTAAAAGGATGTCATTGACAGGTCAGAAAAGTATGCAGAACAACGAGATGCTCCCAGAGATAAAAGCAATAGGAGATCAAATAGTTTTGAAAGGCAATAGGAACCACGTGGAACAGAATCATGAAGACGCTTCACACTCAGTTGTTGCAAAAAAGACAAGAACTTGCACATTACTATAAATACACACTCTTTTCTCATGGTCACCAAGCGTTTTGTAATTTATACTTGAAAAACATGACTTCTGAAGGGATGTTTCTGATAAAGATAAGATATAAGTTAAAGATAAATATATAAGTTAATATGTTTTATTTGGTGTGATCAGTACATGACCAGTTTTCTTATTTATTTATGCTAAAATTTTTGACAAGCAATTTCAAAATGTATCTCAGAGTCTCCTTCAAGTGTTGTGGCCTTAACTGTTCAGTGTTGCATAAAAATATATTTTTATATGTGAAATTTTAAGATATTTCATAGTTTCTACTAAACAGTTTTACTTCTTTATAATATCATAATGCAATCTTTGCAATTGCACGACACTGTAACAGTTTTAATGTATTTGCAATTTTTAAAACAGCAAAAATGTTTTTGAAGAACATATTTTAATAAACTATATCTGGTCGGTTTACTGTTTAAATGGATGACTATGAACAAAAGTCAGAGGTACTTGGGGTTATCAGTTGACAAAATGCAGGCCAAAAAATCTTATTTTAAAATATTGAAGGACACAAAATGCATTGACTACTGAGTAAAGAAAATGTTAGTGCAACCGCATAAGCAGTACACATCTGTGCTCTCCACACCTGTCTATGCAGGGTAACTTGGCATGGAAACACTGCAGATGGTGTGGCGTGATGTGGGGTGTTTGGCCACGCCACATCTCACCACCGTAGGTAAGCCCTGCAGGGCCAGTCTGGCTCCTTCCCGCCACAGCTAGCCCTGACAGCGGTTACCTGGGCTGGTCTCACCTCACATTGCTCTGCCTCAAGGAGTAGGAAAGGTAAAGCCTACATGTCTGCTTTGCTGGAAACTCGTCCCTGTGTGGACCACCTCCATTTCCCCCATTCCAGCTTCTGACTAAAAACCTTTTATTCTTCGATCAGCCACCATTGTCCCATTCAAACAAAGACAGACAAACTCCATCTTTGTGTCTCATTCACAGAGCTTGTAAGGGTGTTAGTCTAGAAAAGATGTGATTTTGAAATCTTAGCCAAATAGTTGTCTGTGTAAGTATTACATTTAGTGTAATTCAATTTTATTAATGGTAAAATTAATAAAATTGTTTTGCTGTTGCCACTGTGGTGGCACTAGTTAAGTATTGCAAAAATGCCCTACCAGAATATAAGCTACAGTAGCCAATTGGGAGTAAAACTCAATACAGTACTAAGACAGGCCTGTTGTAGGCAGAATTCTAAGGTGGGCCTACAAGCTGCCCCCCGGCTGGTCTACTTGCTCTGAATAATCCCCACCTCAAGTGTGGGCGGGCTCCATGTGTATGATACACTCCATTCCTTAGGTTATATGGGAAAGGTGAAAGACTGTGTAGATGTAATTAAAATTCCTAATCAGTTAACTGTAAGGCACCGAATTCTGCCAACCACCTGGAAGAGAAACTGAATCCTCAGACTAGACTGTAGTCTTGGCAGGGTCCTTTCTTTAGCCTGTGAGACCCTGAGCAGAGGACCCGCTAAGCAGTGCCCAGACTCCTGCCCCGTGATACGGTCCTTATCTACTAAGCTTATGGTAATCTGTTATGCAGCAATAGAAACTTGATAGCAGTTTTATTCTCTCTATGGCAGCATCCCTCATCAAAGCTACAAGGTAGAGTCATTTAAGTCTACTAGCGAGACAGGGGTCACAGCCTGAGGTAACATCATCATGGAAGTGACATCCTGTCAACTTTAACATACTCTGTTGGTAAAAAGCAAATCTCAGGCTCCACCCACGCTCAAGATGAGGGTACAACACACCACAAGGGCATGAATTGCAGGAGGCGAGAATCCTAGGCTCCGTCTTAGAAACCTACCCACCGTTGCCAAGGAGAAAAGGGACAGATTAGGGATCAAAGAGTCATTTTTAAGTCAAAGCCCTTGGAAATGAGGCAGAGCACATGAGACAAGCGTAAGCAAACTAATAGTGACCCTGCTTTGTCAGATATCTCAAAACAGTTCAGGCATTTAATAAGGTGATTTACTGAGAATCAGCAACACCAAGAATCCATGTTAGTGATAGGAGAACATACTTTTTGTAAAATGTTATAAATCATCCCAGCCATCTGCCCTTGGACTGGGAATGCTTGTATTGTATTTATTCTCTAAATTTCATTTCATATCTGGCTTTTACATTGGAGAACCACCTACTGACACTTCCCTTGTGCCAGCTATTATGCTAGAAACTCAGAAAACAGTCACAGTGAGAGTAAAAAGAAGAAAATGGGCTGTGACTGCATTATCAATTGAAGATATTATGACAATTTAAAAACCTGTTTCCTAGGATGGAAATGAGATTAGTGGACAATAAACTTGAAAAATTAAGCATATTTAGGAACTCTTGTAAAAAATTAGAAAAGATCATTGATGGAATCAGTTTACGCTGATTTAAGAGATTTGCATTTACTAATATAGTTCCAACAAATTGAAATGATTTTGTTTTAATCCCCAAACTATTCATTATCTTTTCATTTCTCTTTCCTCTCTGTAATTATGTTGTTTTGGACATTTCTTGGTGACCTGAAAATAGACCTTTTTGGGACTGAAAAATGAATTTGCTGACTGGCGGGAGCGGGGGAGGAGGTGGTTATTGACATCATTTAGAGTATATTGGGTCAAATTTTAAATGGATCTTAATTTACTAAATGTCAGTGGTGATAAGATGCTAAGATATTGTGAAAGAGCAGGAGCATGCAAATCCATACCTGAACATTAAAGATAATGAAAATATTGGTCATCACTGAAACCCTTCAAAGTATGGAGAAGAAATGTATGGTTCTGGAAAGGTGCTTGTATTATTCTCCTAGGGTTTCTGTAACAAAGGAACATAAACTGGGTGGCTTAAAGCAGAAACTTATTGTCTCAGTTCTGGAGGCCAGTTATCTGCAATCCAGGTGTTGGCAGGGCCACACTGCACCTGAAGGCACTAGGGAAGTTCTGCTTCTCTCCTAATTTCTCTTAGCCTCCAACAGTCCATGCCTTGGCGATACATCACTTCACACCTTTGTGCTCACGTGGCCTTCTCCCCGTCTTCCCCTTGTCTTCCTTCTGTGCGTGTCCATCTCTGGTTCCAAATGCCCCCTTTTTATAGAACACTAGTATAGGGGGTTGCAGTTCGCCTTAATGACCTCATTTTAACTTAATAACTGCCTTAAAAACCCTGATACCACAAAGTATTATGTTCTGAGGTATAGGGGTTAAGACTTCAACACATCTTTTTAGACAGAGTTAACCCATAACAATGCTTCAGTTTGAGGGCTGCAGAGCATCCAAAAAGTACCTTCAATTGTTTGTAGTCCCTAGTCTCTCACATTCACTGTTACTTTCCTAAAATGTGTTACATCCTGGCTCTCCAATGATAAAGCATCCTCTGTGGAGACACATTTCGATGTTGAAATTTCCATCAATGTGTTTCTAGTTACGTCAAAACAGGAGTTGTGGCAGGGCTATCTTTTCTAGGACCCCAGCCAGGCACACTGAGCACTACTAAATGTTAAGTGATTATCCAATCATCACATTTGCAGTTGTAGAGTTTGGACAAGGATCTATTTCTTAGAAGTTTATGCACACTTTTAAGTTTAAACTCAGTTTTTTAAAGCATTTACCATATGGCTCATCGCAGTGCAATTCTACCACCCATAGGCTATTAATAATTCTGTATGGAAAAGAAAGTCTTTGCATAATCAGGAGACAATATGTCTCTTCCAACAGAAGTAGCCATCAGACACATCAAAAGGGGGCCGAAACTAGTTTTATAATCATCAAGCTTGGAAATGTCACCAGATGAGGAAGCAGGCCTGGTGCCTCAGTACCATCCCACCCTCCAGCAATGCAAATGGATAATCTGAGGGTGAACCAGCTCCACTCGCTTGGAATTGGAAGATGGACTGAGGGGCCCTCCTCCCAAGCACAGGAAAGAGCTCTTGAGACCCTCTGGTCAAGATTGAACAGAGGACCCCACAGACAGCAGGGAGGACAGACAAGGAGTCAGCATTTATTGATGAGCCAAAGAGCAAGGAAAGAGCGCTCTGGGGAGACCTCTCTGGGCATGAGACAGACTCTCTGAGGTGCCAGGGCTAAGGGTTAAAGACAAAGGCATTCAACTTTATCGGCCAGGAATGCCAGGAGAGTAGATTGTAAAGCTCACTTGTCCATCTAAGTGGGGTCCTTTTCTTGTCAGTAGTTATGAGCATCAATTTGCTGGAGCTCAGTGGTCATGCAGAGGTTGTGACCATCTCATGGGTGAATGTCTCATGGAGGCTGTGTGCCCACACCTCAGTCTGACCCAGTCTGGCCTGAAGGTCTGTAGATAGCTCAGGGATGCCCAGGCTGGGAAAAATTAGTAAAAGCCACTATGAACCAAGGACATTTATAGCAGCAGGTGTCAGGGCCTAGAGTATTTAACCTCTTGATTAGGAATTTTTTTTTGCTGTGCTTTGCCCGTTTGTTTTCTTTGGTTATTTATATTCCACAAATAAGTGAAGCTACTTCTGTGTATTTATCCAAATACAAAAAGGCTAATATCAAAAAATTTATGCCTATTAAACCTATGTTCATAGCAGCATTGTTCACAATAGCTAAAACATGAACCAAAATAAATGTCCATCAACAGATGACTAGCTAAAGAACCTAGAATTTATATTTAATGGAATACTCCTCAGCTATTTAAAAAAGATGAAACAGGGCCTCCCCTAGTGGTGCAGCAGTCGAGTGCTGGGCTGCGAAGCTGCCCGCAGCCTCTGCAGCGCCGGTTCGATCCCAGGCTTCCGGCAAGGGTCCCACATGGTGCAACAGACCTCTCCTGACACCCGCTGCTCCCCTCAGCAGTGTATTTCATCGGTCTGTCTGTTCTGTTCCCCGCTCTGGCTCTGGTGGATCCTCTCACCCTCCCGCGCTTCTGACTGTACTCAGTGCTTGTATAAATAAATAAAAATAAATCTTAAAAAAAAAAGATGAAACAGTGCTTCTTGGAATAAAATGGATGGATCTTAAGGTGACTATGCTAAGTGAAGTCAGAATTTTTAAATGTGCTTTACTTTTTTTTATCTTTGAATAATAAGTCAAATGAAAATTGGGGGGAAATCAAAAGATAGGAAAGTGTTCAGCACAGGAGAGGGATATTTTATTCAATAAAAAATTAAACTAGGAGTCATGTAACAAAAGTATTTTCAGATGCTAGACAGGTAAGCATATTGGAGCTGCTGCCACTCTGTTCTAGCTGGTGATTTCTTTCTCCCACTGCTGAGCCCAGTACTGCCAGACCCTCAGCTGTTTGAAAATGAAGCTGAAATCGGGTTTTTATGTGGACAGTTTGTTCACATGGGCGTGTGTATATAGAAGCTCACAGCTGCAGTACCAAGCACGGCCCACAGAGGGCAAATAATGACCTGTGTTTTAAATAAAGGACA